TCTGAGCCCAGTGAGGAATGTATTTTTTTTAATGACAATTTTATGTTTTTTTTTTTTTTTACTTTTTAATGTTTAATTAGTGGTTAATTTTTGTTTTATTGTTTGATGTTAGCTAATGTATATTATTGCTAGTTATTATTTATTTTTTTTTTTTACCTTTATTGACTTTATTATAAAATTGTTTAAAAGGAACAAAAATATTTATCTTTATTACCTATTAATTTATTATGTTTATAAATTATAATTATAATTATATTATATTATAATTAAATAATAATTTATTGTGTTATCAATGGCGTATTTCCAATGTTTTTTATGCCGAAGATTAAAAATTAACTTAAACTATTTTATTATAGACATATTATTATAGTACCTTGTAGTTAAATAATAAATCATGACAAATATTGATTATAAAATAGATGGTATAGGGATTTTTGTACTCTATAACCAATGCTTATATTATTACAACATTATATTTTATTTTAATATTTTTAAGCCTATATAAATAAAGTTTTTAAATTGCTATCTATACTGATTTCATTTTAAACAACAAATTGTCTAAATCAGAGGTTCCCAAAGTTTTAATTTTTCGTACTACTTATGTATTAAGGATTGGTCACGTACCACGTAAAACTAAAAATTGAACAATTCATAATATTTTTACATTTATTTCAAAATGATAAGAGTATAAGATAGTAAAATACTTCAATATAATATTAATATAAAATATAGTATTAGATCCATTAAAAAACATTTGTAAGAATATTGATTAATTTATTTTCTGTACTGTTACCATGCGGTCTTTTGCATACTACTATGTTGCCTACCGCATACCAAAATTTGAGAACTGCAAAAATATTGAATAGCAATGTACTGGTTAGTAAATCCATGTAAATAATGAATACGCCATTGTATATGTTATTATAGTTACTTATTCTTGTTTTTATATGTTAAAACAAAAATATTGTACCGTAGAACAAAATGAATTATTATTATTATTATTATTATTATTATTATTATTATTATAAAGATTATTTATGTTAACTTAGTCTTTAATTATTATCATTATTATTATTAACTAGTCTTTGTTAAATATTCTAAAATAATTTTTGTCAGGATCAAATCTCCTGTGTTCAAAGGACTTTATGACCATTTCTTTCCTATTCATAGACACCAAGATCTGCCCTTGAAATGCTGTAATACAATGTTATTTCATTTACTGTATTGTTTTACACATACAAACCAGTGTTTTGTTAATTTTTTATTATTCTACATTTTATTTAACTTCTTACTTGATAATTAAAGAGTTGATAAAATATGTAACACATTATGTTCAAAAATATTAGTTATCAGGTAAAATATTGCATTTAAATAATTATTGTAATTTTATAAATATATTTATAATTTTTTTTTATAAATAGATAGGTTTTTCTCAATAAATATTATCAATTGAGGTCCGTCCTAATGAAAAGTTTTAATATCAGTAGTTAATAATATTAATAATGTAATGAATAAATTATGACCTTATAATTTTTATTTTATGTTTGTTTAAAACTATTACATATACATTCCTATAGAAGTCTCTCTTGTGTTATAATTTATAATAACAGTACTATACTAATGCAAAGGAGTTATATTTTTCATTCCATTCGATATGTATAGTTAAGTTATTTAAAAAAAAAAAAACTTTACTCGTCTATCTTCCTCATATTTATGTAAAAATAATATACAAGATGATGTACTTATGTGAAATAATTTAAGTAGCTTTTGTGCTTCTTTAGATTGTCTGTGATAGTCTGTGTGTCGCACTGACTAGCTAGGATATTATAATGTTACCTATCTGGAAGTTTTTATTTTTTCTATGAATCCAAATATTGTTCCAAAGTTATGTTTTTTCTTCTTACTAACAATAATAATAATAAACTTAAATTATCCATTTCTGTGATTATTACAAAAAAAAAAAAAATTGATAATTAAGACATAAAGAACTATTGTGTTTTTTGATTGTTGACATTTTTTTAGTCCCTTGAATATTTTGATCAGTTATTGTTGTTTGTAAATTACTGTTTTGAATGTATGCTAATAATTTTTTATTAGTATTTTGAATATTAATAAAATTGAATTTGTAGTGTTTTTGCTGATTATTTGTTAATTTGTATACTTAACAATACATTTTTATTTTATATAATAAATCATTCCTAAGTTATAAACTATTGTGATTGTGGAAAATATATATCTGTCAATCCATTTTCCTTTTTAATAGGTGCATAATAATTTAATAGGTACATTCTATTTTTGCCATGTTCAGTGTTAAACTGGATGTACATTTCATAAATTTCTAAATTATTTACAACTAAATAATTATAAGTATAATAATATTATATTGATATGGAATAATTTCTAATTGTTTGTTATTTGTGGGTTTTGCACAATGTTTGCCTTAATCGATAAATGTACGAATGAAACTGAATCACAAATACACAATTTCATTTTCTTTTGAACTGTCAGTCTGTCAAAATTAAGTAAGAATTGTTATTTATTTTATAATTATTATTGCTTGAGGAGGGGGGGGGTGTATGCAAGGGAAAGAGATCTTCTATTTAGCAGAGCTTCCCTATTTTAATTTTCCCAGTTCGAGCGTTGATATAGTAGACATAGAAGTATATTATTATACATTTATATACATTTTTTATCAACGTTTTTTGGTACTACCAAAGAAGTTTTTAATAAATTAATTTAAAAAGTAAATAGTAGTAAATTGATGTTATTTCATGTATTCATCCAAAAATATAATAAAAAACAAAATTCAAAACTAAGATAAAGGGTAAACATAGGTTGTCTGGACATTTGGTTTATAGGGGGCAAGATTATATTATAGTGATGATCAAAAAATAAACAAAAGGTCCAAGTCAAAAACAAAGATCATTAAATTCGGAGTCTTTGTTAAAATTGTGGGGACTTTGAAAATGTTTAGGGGAGTAAGCCTCTTAAGTTACTGATGCTCAGTTTTGGAGGTGAGTAAAATGATTTGTCTAGTAAATAACCCAAAAAATTTAGTCTCCAAATAAATAATCCCTTGAAAAATAACCGCATATTAATATTAAATGACAATAATAATCATTGAATCCAAATTTAACATTATTTGTGACGAATTTTACTGTATGTAAAATAGTATGCGTGAAACAGCAACCTGTTGTATATAAATTATAATTTGTAAGTATCGTTGCCAGTTATATTATTATTAGACGAAAAGACCGCGACGGGGTGTCGTAATCATAGATAATATAATGTACAGAGTGATTTTTTAATTATGCTCACCGTATTTAAATTAGGTATTAAATTATGCATATATTCAAATTCTGATTTTTTGGAATTTTTAAGTGTATAGTTAAAGACGATATTTTTAAATATTTAGACTTTTCTCAACAGTTAAGGAGTAAAAGAGTATCCTGTGTCAATACCAACTTTGATTGTTTAAATAACAACTACGTCTTAATGCAAGTTGAGAATTAGATCATTTTTCAGAACATTTAGAAGTTTTATAATCAAAATTTGAATCTTAAGTTTCTGAGTTATTTTAATTTAAATACTACAGATTGTAATCTATTAAATACATTGTGAATGTGTACTAGTTTGGTAACATTAATGCACACTTCATTTTGTAATAATAAACAAATTGTTTGTGTATACTTGACTAAGTAGTAACCGAGGTACCTATCTACTTAGTAACTATTAAAAAATCTATTTCATAGGCTATTATCCTTAATATTTAAAGTAGAATAACTCCGAAGGTTTTTATTCAAATGTCTATTTCAATAATTAAAAATTTCCAGAAAAATCGCTAGATTTACAATTTGCATTAAAACATATAGGTTTTAATTTGAAGAATATAAGAGTTTTAAAATATCGTATAGTTTAAAATTTAAAAAATTATAATTTGAATTTATTCAAAATTTAAAAATAAAACGAGGTGAATATGCTTAAAAAATCCACTATATATATCCTAGGGCCGCGAATGACAGTTAATTTTTTTTATTAAATATCGTTTGAATGCGGAAAAACAACTATACCTACTTGTTAGTTGTTATATAATAATCAATAAAATTGTATTATATTGAATATATTGTTATTTTAACACCCTACACAAAAAAAATATATAAACTGGTATGAACAATTTTATTTGCAATTATCTTATATATACGGTGAACATAAACTAATAATAGGTACCAATAGTCACGAAATTAATCATCAAATATTTAAGTAAATACAATACAATATATTTTATAGTTTATTATAAATGGCTATTAGCTATTTGACCATGGTTTATAATTATGTTATGTTTCTTAGAAAATATTATGTTGTAGATAACGTTTTGAATTTTTGATAACATTTTTTTTGTTAGCAAAACATTATTATATCAGTTAATACCTAATAATTTTTAGTATCGAAATTATTGTTGTCGTATTGTTTTGATGAAGTATGAATGTTAATAGATATTAATAATTCGTATTTAGTATTAATACTACAGTAAATGCATTATTATAACGATGTTGTGAGTTTAAAGTTGTAAAAAGATAATAACAAAGTTTTGAATATATTAATGGTCCCGCGTTTTAAAATCGATCTAATTGGCTACGGAATAGTTCAGAACGTGGCCTTGGTCACGCATGCGCAATGTGTACTTACGTGGCACGAACAGCGTTTCAGTTTCACATCCGTCTGACCAGTTGATGTTTTGTATTAAAACTTGTATTATAATTTGTTATTTTATAATGTAAAGAACTCAATTAAGTTTACCTTCTTGTCAATGATCGAGTGAAAAGTTTAGAAAAAGAAGTCTACGATTCAAATTTATCGATATTTTTAGATATTTGTAAACTATTAGGTAAGAAAGAGTGTGCATAATATATTCACTGCCAGCTCTGTTTAATTTATTGGATATCTGTCTAAAGTATGGTTTGTAATTGAAGTTTAAAAAACACATTTTTAGTTTACGAGAAATGAACGATTCTCAGTTTGTTCAAGAGCATCCGCAGCAACATTATGGTGCACCACCAACGTTACAACAACAAAACGGTCAACACAATCCAACGTCAGATAGTAAGTATATCTGTAATTGACCAACTCTTTGAATATTTATACTGATATACATTTTTTCTTACACTAGTAAAATTAGTTAAATAGTTATGTACACAGTGATTGAAATTAATACTTTTTTGAATGTAGGTACCTATACATTTTTGTAAGTCTTTCAATAATAATGTTAAACATATATTTCAACAAAATTTTGTTTTTTGATTATATTATTAACAATCATCATGATTTTAGGCTTATAAATTTAAAAAATATTTTGTTTAGATTCATGATAAGTTTAAAACTATACTTGTGAAAAAGTGGTACCTAGGTATTTAATTTTCAAGTTTAAGTCTTGGTCAACATATTGTTTATATCTGTCTTTGATGAATATTTTTATTTTAAATTTCAAGAAAATTTTCTAATTGTACCTATTAATGGTTGATATATTTTTTTTGATCCTACCAAATTGTCTAATAAAATACAAATTTTCAATTTTAAATTTATAGATTTATCATATAATCGTGACGAAGGTCAGTTTAATGATCAATTTTCTCAACTTGGATTAAATAGTGAATCTTCATTTCCTTCAGTTCAAAGCAATACCTATGTGAGTTATAATTTAAATAATTCTTAAATGATTCACTTAATATCAGTGTAAGTATGTAGTTAATATTATTTTTATATTTTAGGCTAGTAATAACATCAATAATTTTCCAAATGGACCACAAACTAATAATCCTCAAGTATATGCACAAAGTAATTTTCTTGTTGAACAGTCTGGCCTCCCCAAGCAATTTTCTTCAGCAGAACCCTACGGAGGAGATTTTAATCAAAATGTACCCCCACCAAATAGTTTTAAAGAAAATTCAAATAATATAGCACCATTATCATCTTCTTTTCTTGAAAATAGCAATCAATCAAATTCTAATGACGAAATTAGTAATATAGATTCAAGAGAATTGATTAATTGCATACCTGGTAGCTTAAATGAAGTACCAATATCTAGTAAATCAAATGCATTTAATAGTTCAAGTGTAGTTCAAAATCAATTTGGTCCTGGATTAAATTCTTTATCTCAACAGCCTCATTCAGCATTTTCTGTTGTTTCATCTCAATCAAGAGAATATCTAGGTAATACAGGATTGCCATCACTTCAACAATCAAATTTTCCACCAAAATCTAAAGTGTCAGCTCAACATTTAGATTTTTCACCACAGTCTAATTTGGCACAGCAACAACCAGGTTTTCCACCACAACCTAATTCAACTTTGCAGCAACAAGGTTTTCCACCAAAATCCAATCTAACATCCCAGCAATCAAGTTTTCCACCACAACCCATTTCAACATTGCAACAATCAGGATTCCCTCCAAAATCCAATTCAACGTCGCAGCAACCAGGTTTTCCACCATTAACCACTTCAACTTCGCAACAATTAGGATTATCATCTAAACCCAATTCAACACAACATCAATCAGGTTTTCCTCCTCAATCCAATTCAATGCCACAGCAACCAGGTTTTCCACCACAATCAATTTCAGCATCACAACAGTCTGGATTCGATCCTCAACCCAATTCAATGTCACAGAAACCAGGTTTCCCTCCACAACCAAGTTCAACAACTACGCTACCAGGATTCCTTCCACAACCCAATTCAATGTCACAACAACCAGGTTTTCCACCACCACCAACTTCAACATTGCAACAATCAGGTTTTCCACCCCAATCTAATTCAACATTTCAGCAACCAGGTTTTCCACTAAAACCTAATCCTACGTTACAACAACCAGGTTTTCCACCACAATCCAATTCAATATCACAACAACCAGGATTCCCCCCACAACCCAATTTGACGTTGCAGCAACCAGGATTTCCATCACAACCTAGTTTAACACCTCAACAACCTGGTTTTCCACCCCAATTTAATACATTGCAAAAATCCACCCCAATTTAATACATTGCAAAAACCCAGTTTTCCACCACAACCCAATGCAACATTGTCACAAAATCAACCACAATCAAATTTGATAGCTCAACCAGGTTTACCACCTAAACACCAACAAACAGGATTTCCTCTTCAACCTTCAAATTTATCATCACAAGCAAGTAATTCACAACAACAAGGTAGTAGTACATCTTTTCAGCAGCCTGGATTTCCTACTCTGCCTAGTTCACCGCCCCAGCAGCAAGGTTTTCCAACTCAATCTGGAAGTTTACCTTCTCAACCAATTGGTTTTCCACCTCAGCAAACTGGTTTCCCACCTCAGCAACCTGGTTTAGTACCCCAACAACTGGGTTTATCACCTCAACAAACCCAACTGCCACAGCAACCTGGATATACTCAACAATACAATGGTTTTCCGCAACAACCGAATTATCCACCTCAACAAAGTTACACTACTCAACAGCCAGGTTTGAATCAAGGCACACCAACTTATATGGGTCAACCAGCTCCTAGTAGAAGATTAGATCCAGAACAAATGCCTAGTCCAGTTAGTATTCAATTATATTACATTTTTATTAAGTTTAGTTTCCACAGTTCATTTATTTGCTGAAGGTTTACTATTTGTGGATATTTTCTATATAGTGAGCACTTATTTGGTGCACTTCTGTGTTATTTGTTATTCTGCAGTATGCAGAGAGTATCCACAAATAGCATTATCAGGTAAGAATGAAATAACCTAAAATTAGTACATTTTTTTTAAATTTTTAAATCAACATTTAAATATTATTTATCTTGACTTCTTTATAAATGTGCCACTATTTCACTACTGAATTAATGTAAAAATTGTCTTTAATATTTTCTATCTAAGTTATTATTTATATTAAAATCAATTCTATGATTATTTCTAAACAACATCTAGTAAAATTAGAATTTTGTTTAACTATTAACCAATTTAAGAATTATTTGCTATTTGTTTTTTTTTAATGATATCTAATTATGTTTAGGTACAAGTTATACAAGACGATCAACAATCTAAAGGTGGTATTTTTTTAACTAATCAAAGAGGTCTCGTACCTCCTTTGGTTACTACAGATTTCACTGTACAAGATGGCGGTAATGCTTCACCTAGATTAATAAGATCTACCATGTACTGTGTACCAACTACAACAGACATTATGAAACAAGTGAATACATATTTTTTAGTAACTATGAATAATTTATGTGTTAATTAACTAGATTTAAAAATTGATTAGAGTTCTGTGCCATTCGGGTTAGTGATTAGTCCAATAGCAAGAATAAAACAAGATGAATATCCTCCACCTATTATAAACACCGGAGAAATGGGACCAGTTAGATGTAAAAGATGTAAGGCTTACATGAGTCCATTTATGCAGTTTATTGATGGTGGAAAACACTTTATATGCCTTTTATGTAAAACTTCAACGGAAGGTAAGTTTTAAATTAACATATTGTATTTTATAAATCTATATTAAAATCAAAATGTTCTATTTTAGTGCCAGTTGAATATTTTCAACATTTGGATCACACTGGTCAGCGGCTTGACCGCTTTGAAAGACCTGAACTATGTTTTGGATCATATGAATTTATTGTCCCAAAAGAATATTGTAGGGTATGTACATAATCAATAACTGAGTGTTATAATTAAAAATTTAGGTATTTGTTTTATACAAATAATAGAAGTACATAACAGCATAATATTATTCTAACTTATTGCATTTTTATCTTTTACCAGATGTGGTATAATGAAATTAATGTTAAACAAAAAAATACCTAATCAATTTATTGTCTATTCATTAAATAATCTTTGTTTTCATTTATTACTATTTTATTTGGTCGTTACTCAATTATGGTTTGATTGGTTAGGTCAAGTGAAACAAAGACAGTAAATTTCTAAATCTACAATATCTTTTTAGAAGTTATTAGTTTGTTTATCTAGGGCAAATCGCTAACTTGATAAGTTTTGTTAACTAATAAGCTCTAACTTCAAGCCTTTCTATTTACTTTATTTACCCATGCAACTTCAATTTATGAACTTTTATTTATTTTATATTTATTATTCAGATATTCAGTATTTTAATAATTAGCATAAGGTATACTTGTTTTGTTGTAAAATACATACATATCGTTATTAAAGATTTAATATTTATTATGTACATTAAATATAGTGAATTTATTTTTCAGAAAGAAACACAACCAAAACCTCCTGCATATATTTTTGTGATAGATGTTTCTTATAATAATATTAAATCTGGACTTGTACGACTTATATGTGCTTTCATGAAAGAGTTATTAAGCAAATTGCCAACTGAGTTAGGAGAAGAAAAAAGTAAAATACGTGTTGGTTTTATAACATATGATACCACTGTTCATTTTTATAATATTAAGGTAAGATAAATTTAAAGTAATTAAAAATTAAGATTACTATTAATATTTGTTTATTAATTATGTTTTTATGGACAGTTTTGGCTCTGTATTTTGTTATACATAAAATTAATAAAAATAATTATAAGTTATAGTCCAGTTCAGTGGTTTAGAACCTGATACAAATTTCGACGCTCTAATTTTTTTTTTTCATCTATGATAACCCCTTTAAAAATCATTTAATAGAACTTAAATAATACGATATACAGTATATTATGGTAATTTACATATAATTACAGTAATTATGGGTTTTGGTCACTCGCTAACTGTCTAGATAACAGTTCTAAAGAATAGCTATAAATACTTAAAATATAATATACAGTCTTAAAAATGTAGAATAGAAGAATTTAATTAAAATCTAAGTCTTAGAAAATATCACAAGAAAATTCATAACAATTAAATACTAAATAAACTATTCTAAAACTATTTAAAAAATTGAGTATATTTAAAGTTGTAAAAATTTTATTTATTTCAGGAAACATTAGTTCTTCCTCAAGTGATGGTTGTTGGCGATACTACAGAAATGTTTGTGCCATTGTTAGATGGGTTTTTATGTAATCCAGAAAAATCTTCTCATGTTATAGATGCTTTAATGGATATAATTCCTTCTATGTTTAATGAAACACGTACTACTGAAACTATTCTTCTACCAGCTATAACAGCAGGGATGGAGGCCTTAAAGGTATCTTTAGTTTTAAATATGATTTTTATCAAACAATATTATGTAATTTATGAGTTTTAACAATTTAAAATATTAATAATTATTGTATACAAGTGATTTTTTATCATGAACCAGCAATTATCTTGGATTTTTTTTTAAGTTAGTTTGATTTCTAATTTCTTCAGATTTGACTAGACAATATTTTTCTAGTAATTTTGATATTAATGTTATTATTTTTTTTTCTAAATTCTATACAATTTTATATTAATAATTTTTCAAAGTGTTTTTTAAACAGATCAGTTATGGTTTGTGTATCACTGATTAGATTCCCTTCATCAAGCATGGTGAAATTTTGTGAATTTGTGTCCTTTGACTGATTTACATTGCTTGAAAAACAGTCTGGGATTCATTTTAGTTTTCAATGTCCTCAATAACTTTCTTGAATGCTAACCTCTTTTGGCGTCTTACTATACTGTTGGCTAGGTTTCAGTAACTGTGCCTATTATTTTTCCCCAATCGATTCAACTTCAACTGTTGGCAATTTATTTCATTTGTTATAAATTCTAACTTATGATAACTAACCTATGCAATTCTTTTTGGTCAGTGGTTTTAATCCAGTTGAACTTTTTTTGATTCTTTGTTGTTTCCTTCTCCAACTAACTGATAGTTTGTCAGAAAAATCTATTACAAGGAAGTGGTTGGTGTCTCCGTCCACTCCCTTATAGTTCCTCACATTGCTGATACCAGATTTATGTCTATTCTCAATTATAGCGTGGTTAATTTCCCTTTTATTTCTTGTATTTGAAGATACCCATGTTTGTTTGAGGATATTCTTTCTAGGAAAAAAAGTACTGCTTACCACAAATATGTTCAAAAAGGGGGAGGATTCCTATTTGAAAATCAAAAGTATATACTTATTTCAGGTGTGTAGAGTAGAGGTAAAAAGTTAAAAATGGTTTTAAAATAAAGCCTAAACAATTCCATTATGATTGGAAAAAACAGAAATCAAATTCACTTAAAATCCTCTGAGGTAACTGCTGGTTTATGATAAAAAAAGACATCTTAAGATAATGGGGACGGGTGCAGCCACTGTTATAGATAATTAAATGTATACCCGTAAGCAACAATAAACCATTACTTTTGAAAAAAAAAAACGATTTTGAGCGGAGTTGAGTTGGTAGTGATGCTTTGTCAACAATATGCATGTCATTTTATATTAAAATAATTAAATAGGCTTTATATATTTCCTTTAATAATATTTGTTTAATGTTTTACCGATTTTTCCAAATTTTCCTATGTTTTTCCCAATTGTCCCTGTTTATCCTGGTTTTTCACATTGGCTGGGAAAACTCCTGAGAAAATTAAAAAATTACCTCTCTAAAGTATCTCCCTAGAAAATTTTTTAGAAACATTACTATCATTAAAAGTTTGAGCAAAATTGCTGGTAGAAAAGTTGTGCACAGGAAAAAAAAATTAACATCTTTGTAAAACCATAAGCTTCTCCGCTCTTTCAGAATATAATCTAAAAATCGCACTGTATTTTATGAAAACATATCTAATTTAATATAATTATTATTTAAGCAATTTTTTTTTTTATTGTTGACTAGTGGAAAACAATAAATTACTCAATGTATTGCTACCATGGACTCATAGTTATTTATTTGTATTATTTGTATGTTTTTAGAAAGCTGATTGCTGTGGTAAATTATTTGTATTTCATTCGTCTTTACCAATAGCAGAAGCTCCTGGTAAACTGAAGAACCGTGAAGATCGAAAATTACTCGCTACTGATAAGGAAAAAACTATATTGAGTAAAAGAAATAAAAATCTCTTAAATATTTTTGTTTTTTTAAACCGCCCGAAAGCTTTTATTGTAACAATTAAAATAAATCTTTAACAATACATTATCAAAGGTGTGCATAAATACTTGTGATGTATTTATGTACAAAAATTAAAAAAAAAATAAAAAACGTGTGGAATCTTTCTCCCAGTGGAGTGGCGGTGGTCTTAGTTTAAGAATCTTATACTAAGTCACATGGTCTTCGGCGATTGAGACGTCTAATATCTAGAGAGTTGTCTATTAGTTGAATTACTACTGGATTGGTGTGTTGATCCAGTCTTTTCTCATATTTGCGGGCAAACTTGGTAATCTCGTCCTGGACAAAGGTGATCATTATATCTCTGTGGATAATATTATTTCTGTCATACCGGTAAGCTTCTGGCAATGGTACGGAGAGCGATGTAATGGCAAAGTTTTCCATAAGTCCATATTGGTTTAATTATCATTACGTACAAGAGGCGTTTGCTTTTGAGGTCTAGTGCGGAATGTTTTCCGACCAGCCAATATAGTTGTCACATTTTCTTCTTAATTTGCAGTTTTTTCTGTCTAACGTGGTGCTTCTAGTTGAGTCGAGAGTCCAGGTTTTTTCTAGATATTTTGCTGAGTCACATTGTGAGATGCTCTGCTTAATTTTGTCATGTTAAAGTTTGCTAGTACAATTTTAGAGTATTTTTTTAGTTCATAGTGCTTTATAGACTCTTATAATTACAGCAGTACCAGCCCGAGTTCTACCACTAAGATGAATCCTTATCTTTAGAAAGGTCGATGTTGTAAAGTGGTGCATTTCCGAAATAATGGCTATGTCAATGTTTTCACTGTGTAAAAGGTCTTCAAGTTCTTGTCTGCGCTGTATTAACCCATTGGCGTTCCATCCAATGATTCATTTCTTTATTTTCTGCGAAGTATTTTTGGACTTTGTCTGGTTTATTTCCAGTTTGTCCATTCTTGCTGTGATATTTGCTAGTGTTTGTGTTATATTGATTAACACGACTAAAATCAACAAATCTCCAAACATCCTGAGGTTTATTTGGATCGAATTTTGAAGTGCTAGCCATGTGCAAGTATGAAACATTTGTTGTGACAGGTTTCTTCTGTATTTTTTGTGCAGCAGAGACTTGTTTTGGGTGTGCTGGTTTCTATTACATTCTTATAAGCAGAGCAACCCTTCCAGTTGGCTGTGTGATTTTCACCACAGTTTGCACACTTTGCTTTTGTCTTTTTAGATTTTAGGCAATCTTCGGTTCTATGTTCACTACATTTCATGCATACATCCGATTCGTGACAGATTTGTGTGTGTCCGAGAGCTTGGCAGTTCTTGGTGGTTTTATTTTTATTATCTGATGACATAGTAGTTTTATGTTGTAAATGTCTTTATTATTCTCCCGTGGTTTTATATCTACAAACAATAATGGTAGCCCTATGTATGTCCATTCACTGTTTTTGTTTTTAGGATCAGATTTTTTCTTGATCTGTATATTGGTTATTTTGCTTACCTCGTGGCCTTTGGTCATACAGTTCATTGGTAATTATTTCTATAAGTCATGATTTATACCTCTTAATACTACTCAAAATGGTTTTTCACCTTTTAATTGGTAATGATGGTATTCAACTTTATTTTCATTTAATATTCTTATTGTACTTCTGAATTGACTTTCGTTTTTTATTAAGATTCTTGTCTCATCATTTGATAGGACTTTGAATTGTTGTTCGTTTCCTACCGGCTCTTAATAACTATACCTTAATAATTGTTTTAATTTATCAAAATGTTTAACACCTTTGATAGTTATTGATGGGGTTTATATATTTTTTAAGTATTATCATTAGTCGGGTTTTTATTACTATTTTGTTTAACTTTTGAAGTTACGTTAACATCTTTTGAAACTGATATGTTAGAATTAGGGGTCGTTTTTTCTAATTTGTTCTCTTTTTTTTGTAATTAATTGTGACGATTTAAATACCAGTACTAATTCACTATTTTTTATTTGTAGTAATTTTTGACTTGCTTGTAGTTCTGCCACTTGGCGATGGAGTTGTTCGTTGGCGTGTTTTAATTTGGTTAAATATTAGAAATATTTGTATTAATATATTATTTGTCTATTTTTAATAGATCCCCAAACAAATGTGTATATGGATTTGGGACAGGAGTGTGTTCAAGTTGGTTGTAGTGTTGATTTATTTATTACTAATAACTCTTTTATCGACTTGGCTACAATTGGTGAAATTACTAAAATTACTGGTGGTGAAATTTTCAAATACACTTATTTTCAAGTACGTTTCTAAATGAAATATAATTATATTGTAAATATAATTTATAAATATAAATATATTGTTATAAAAGTATAAATGTGTTTATAAAAGAATTTGTATTTTTTAAATTTAGGCTGACATTGATGGAGAACGATTTTTGTCAGATTTAAAACGTGCTATTAGTCGACCAACTGTTTTTGATGCTGTTATGCGAGTACGTACATCAACCGGTACTCGTCCCACTGATTTCTATGGACATTTCTTTATGTCAAACTCCACTGATGTCGAGTTGGCTGCTATTGACTGTGATAAGGTATGATTTAAACATTATTGATGTATATTTTAACTTATTTTTGAAAGTTGAAAATGATGTACTTAATATAAAAGTTCTTAATATTTCTACAAAATGTAAGAGTTCAAAATTATTCATTATTTAAAATGTAACTATACCTAATAGAGATAACAACAATACATATTTTTTATTTTATTAATAACAAACAGAAATATTTCTTCAAATGTTTATTTGAATAATTTATTAGCAAAAATTAAATAGTTGAATTTTATTGATATTATTTGCAATAAAAAAAATAATGTAAAAAAGCCCCATAATACTGAAATTACATACTGGCTATTTGATTTACTTTAACACCAATTAGAGGTGTATTACTTTTTAAAAATTAGTTTTAAAAAAGTTATTAATTACTATTATTTCATTTAAAACCAATAATTAACTTCTTTTCCTCAAAATTAGTAGTTTCTGTAATTTTTTAAATCATGTATTTAGTTCTAATATAAAATTAGTTAATTTGATTAATTATCACAGTATTGTAATATTATGAAATTAATATTTTCTATTCTAAATTATCTGTATAAGATGTTTTCCTAATCATGATATAATCTAAATACTGTTTAAATTACTGTTGGTTATATAATTTGATACAATTTATTGTATTTTTTTAAATGTATACTAATAATTAATAATTATACTATTTTAATGCAATCTTCTGTTTTTGTGGCTTATTAAAAACAATTTCCTACCTGGATGATAAATGTCTGTTTTTATTTTGTACATCATTTGTTCAAAGTTGAAATAATATGTTATTTAATATTATTCACTTCTAGGCTATTGCTATTGAAGTAAAACATGACGATAAACTCGATGAACAAGATGGAGTATTGGTACAAACAGCTATATTATACACATCGTGTAGTGGACAGAGGCGTGTTCGTATATTAAATCTAGCATTACAATCTAGTGGACAAATGAGTGAATTATATCGTAGTTGTGATTTAGACACAATAATAAATTTCTTTGGTAAACAAGGTGGGTTCTAATATTGTCGAATTATGATGCATTCTAATAGATAATATATTAATGGTTTTATTTTTATTTTATTTAGTAATGTATAAAATATTGGAAAGTTCTGGACATCGAGTAAAGGATGCGATTACCAATAAGGCCGCTCAAATACTGGCTACTTATAGAAAACATTGTGCATCACCATCTTCAGTTGGTCAACTAATTTTACCAGAGTGCATGAAACTAATGCCTTTATATGTTAATTGTATAATTAAAAGTGATGCAATGTCTGGTGGTATGTTATTTTGATTTTTAATATTATCACACAATTTATACTAATTATTGGTGTTTTTTTTCTGCAGGTTCTGATATGACTGTTGATGATCGTTGGTATAACATGCATTTGGTCATTACTTCAGATATACCTACAACATTAGGATATTTCTATCCACGTCTGATTCCCATTCACACACTCAATGACGAAACACCTTTGGACTGTGTCTCAATACCAGAGCAATTGAGATGTTCCATAGAAAAGTTTTCTGAAAATGGTGCTTTTGTTTTAGGTAAATTAAAATATTATTTTATGTTTTAAATAAATTACAATTATAATAATACATTTTATTATTTAGAAAATGGAGTTTATATGTTCATGTGGCTTGGTTTGGGTTTAAGTCAAACATTTTTATCGGACGTGTTTGGCGTTCAGAATATAGCACATGTTGATACTGAATGTTCTACTATTCCCATTTTGGATAATCCACTCAATAAAGCAGTTCGTCAGGTGTTGTTTAAAATTCAAGAAGAACGAAGCCATTCAATGAGAGTATGTAGACTTGAACAACTTTTTCTATTAATAATTAAGTTTGTTTGTGTTGTTTATACTTTTTTTGTTTATAGCTTTCAATTATACGGCAAAGGGATAAAATTGAGACTGTTATGAGGCATTTCTTAGTTGAAGATCACGGCATTGACAATAGCCCATCTTATGTTGAGTTTTTGTGTCGCATGCATAAAGTAATACGCGATATGCTCAGTTAGCATACACAAAAATGGTAAAATTATTTTTAGTAGTTTGTGATTTTACTTAGTATAGTTTTCATATTATAATAAATTAAAGTCATTAACTGACTGTATGTATTATTTTAAGGTACAAAGAAAATATTTAAATTTTCATTGTTTTATTATTCACATTATTTCTTGTATTGTTTTAAAATTATTTCTTATATTATATTTTTATATTCAAATAACTATACAATATTATACTTATACAATATTAATATTTTTGATGATATTTAATTATTAATTCCTATTAATATTTTGAAACAATAGTATATACCTTATATTCTTATTTTTATACTACTCGTATATATAAATTAATTTGTTTCTTGTAATATCAATTGGGAGAGTAAAAAGAAAATGTATTTATTTAAAAAACAACGAAATAAAAAAAAAAATGATGTCAGACTCAATTAATATATAGTATATAACTAATGATGGTACTTAAATTTGATTTTTTGAGCTCGAGAGAGGGAGAAAAATAGTCACGTGACGTCACAAGGTTATTTATTTATATTTTTTGTTATGTTTAACAAAATTAAGACAATTATCATAAGTTTGTGAATTTTCATAAGTGTTGGTGTGCATTTTGTTGTTTTACTAAGTTTAAATTTTTGTAATTCATTTTTATTATACTAACTATGTTATTAGTACAGGTAATGAGGGAATATTTTTTCAATGTTTCACATAAATATATACTTATATAATATACATATATATATAGATGCATATATATTTATTATATTAAAAACTAAAAATAACTATATAAACATTTTGAATAAAATTATAAAATAAATAGAAAATCTTGAATATCTTTTAAAACGTATTTCATCAATATTTGGTCTTGGTATTGGAGCTATAGACTTAGGCATTTCAATTTCTTCTGTAATTTTAATAACTGTTTTAAACAAATTATATAGTGTATGTGAAAATACTTCTTATAATATTGGTAATAAACCATATATTTAGAACTATTTCAACTTTATATAAAATAATTATGGAGGTAATTACTAATAAATAAATAAAGTACACATTATTATAATATTATAATAATTTTCTAATACATTCGTTTAACTTAACTAAGTATTAGCTTAACTTTGTAAAACAAGAATCAAAAAATGAAAATATACAATTTGAAAGAATACTTTTATTTATTAAGATGTGAATGTAAAATGCGGCTGATCATTGTTTATCAACATAGAATAGGTACTTAGATGAAATCATAACTATTCAGAGTATTTTTATATGTCAGTTCATTGTTTTGATTATAATAGAATTAGTATATCATAAATCTATAATTGTATAGCCAATTTGTTGAATATAACAAAATATAAATAAATAACATAGATAACGTTTGCAATTCCTGTATAAGAGTATAGTGCCGTGTGATTTTATGACGTCATGTGGTTATCTATTTTGAGCTCTTAACGCCTCAACGAATCAATGTTTATAGTATTTTAGTACCACTATTAATTATATATTTAATTATCTATTTTTTAAATCTAAGTAATTTTTCTTGTTCCTGGGTCCTTTAATGATGATTCTCCTTGGAATTGATTTATTTTAAGAATTATTATTTTGATATTAAATTTGAGAAAAAACCAAATTTAAATTGGTTGTTTGGCTTTGTCAATAGTGATTTTACAAACATCTGTGTATATGAACATTACATTTGGATTACACAGATATTATATTAACATAGTTTCTCCATTTATAGGTACATTTTTGTAATGATAATAAATTTCTATATGTGTGTTTAAATTATGTTATGTGTGTAACATATCAGACATTATCTATTTATTTATGAGATATTCATTATTTATTGTTTTGTTTTAAAAAATAAAGACAAGTATAATATGAATTTACTTATGACATTTTTCCTGATTTATATAGATAAGAAATGTTAATCTGATTGAGTGGCTATAAATAACTAATTTCTATGTCTCTAATTTGCATAAATTAAAAAAATAACATTAAAAACAATTTTTTTTATAGTTAAAGAATTATCAATTATCTAAATCTGAAGGACCAATTTAGTATTTTTTCAACCTAGTTAATTTGTTATATTATTTATTTAAAATGTTTGGCCATTGGAAATACAAGTTTGTAAAAAAATTTTTCTAATGGTATTCCATAAATGAAACTGAATAGATTAATAATAGTATTTTGATGATAAATTAATTTTTCAAAAAATAGTGATGTTTGTTTAAACAATGTGAAATTTTAAATTAATATGTCATAAAAATATTCATGTTTTTAAATAAGGTGGTAAACTACAGTTTAAAATTTCAATTTCTGTAAATTTTCTACTTATAAAAATTATTAATAAGAACACCATAATGTAAGTTGATGTCTATAGTAAAATCAAATTATTTTATATTTTTAGGTAATTGATAAGAATCCAAACTGGAGTAATACCATAACAATTACTACAATTTCTTATCTATCTAGCCTACTACTACATAATTGTTACATTTTATTATTATATTTATTAATTATGTATACACACATTTAAATTATAGTAATATCTGTTGTTATTATATTTATTATATTATTTTTTTGAATTTTATTATTATTTTATGTGAAATTCCGCCTTTTTTCTTGGTGTTATGTTGAAACAGTTCATTTGTATAATAATATTTATATATAAAATATAATATAATGTAAAATAATTAATTTGTGCAATTTATTAGTTAATAGATTCATCCCTAAACTAAAATATATTTTTTAGATATTATATTAAAGAACTGAAGTTTTAATTTTGAAATTTATGTCTACGAAAGAACAATGCGTTATTTAGACGAGCTGTAGTTGAATCCAGCTTGATTTTATTGGCCCAACGTTTTTGGTCAACCGAATTAGAATGCCGGCCTAGTGTCTCGAATAGTTCATGACTGTACATCAATTGATCCTTACGGACAGTGCTGCCGTTTACACTGCTAACATTAGCTACTCTAGCGCGTTTGTGTTTGATGTAGATCACTTCAAAAGCTAGAGTAATTAATGCTATCAACAAGCCAACTAAAGTTGCAATGAAAACACCACCTGAAACATTATTTAACATTACAGATAGTAATTAGATAGATACAGATAGTAATCAGTTTATCTGTTTTAAACACTGGCAGAAAATTTAAAAAAAAATTTCTGATAGAGGGGGTGAACTCTTGTATGCATATAGTGGGGGGAAAGAGGTTTCAGAAAAAAATCCACCGTTACACTATTTATGCTTTGCTGCCAACTACTCATCAGTTCTGACAAACTTATTTACAAATGGCACCAGTAGCTGGGCTATGATCTTGATCTATTTTCCATTTTGTTTTAATATTTTTTATCTATTTTGTATAGATATGTACCTAGGTCCTTAATTCAGTACTTAGTATTATTGTAATAATTGATTATTAATAGGTATTAGGGATTACCCAGTACCCAATCTTTCTATGTATTTACTTATCTATACTAACCATACTTAATATTTATGGGTAGGTATTGTAATTTTAACTTTTTGTGGTATCTACATGGTAGAAATACATGTGTGGTGTACGAAAAAAAAAAGTTTGAGACCATTTGAATTCTAGTAGATATACCTTGTGGTAAAATTGTGTATTACTTGATTATAATAATATTTTTACCTAAACTTTCTAATGTGATACCCTCACTGTCGTCGGCATTTGGGCACATGCTCACTTTGGAAGCATTCCAATATTTGGCGTTTAATAATTCAAAGAATCTATCCTTTTGTAAATCTAATATTCTAAAACAAATACGTCAAAATTCTATGTAAATGTTTGTTCGATAAGTAACACAAATTGGATAGGTAGGTAGGTAGATATAAATTTACTTTCTACTGATTTCTTCTTGTATAAGACTTCCTTGTTGGACAGCGATTGAATACGGTTTTTCAGCAAATGTTTCGCCTACTTCGGTTAGATTACAATTATTATAAACCTCATACTTGATGTCTGATGAATCATGAATCAAAGCAAATTCACCCTGTTCATTGTCCAATACCTAAAAAATCCAATAATATGAAAACATTTACATTCAAATATATTTTACAACATTAATTCTTCTTGCCATTTGATATCCAACAGTTCTGTTAGGAACGGTTCCAGTTCTTTCTATAGCTGCAAGTATTTGTCCAAATTCTTCTTTTATGGGATAATCCCAAACTCTAAAATCTTTTCTGTTGTTTGTTTGGTTCAATGCTATTTCTTTCCAGACACTATAAATATAAATAGATAATACATATTTTACATTAAACAATTTTAGGAAAATTTGTGATATCATCCGGGAACCTGCGAATAGCAAATTACAGAAAATGATATTCGTTCGTTCCCGGTGTTCAGAGGCGTCTCCAGACCTTGACTATGGGGGAGGGGAGGGGAGGAAAAATGAAAAAATTAATTTAATATTAATGGTTGATAAGGCAGAGACGGACATACTTCTACCACTGTTAGGTACATAGAGAGAGAATAGAGGATATAGAAGGAAATTTAATGTATATCTGTAAGCAAAAATTAATCATTGCTAATGAAAAACGATTCTGAGTGGAACTCGGTTAATACTTAATAGTATTGCTTTTTCAACAATATTATATATGTCATATAACAGAAAATAAATATTACATTCAAAAAATTTATATGGACCAATAGCTAACTAGATTTGTTCCACATCATTTTTTACTAAACAATTTTCGTCAAAATTTCATATTAAAATTCTTATAAAAAAAAATATACTACATTAAATTTATTTTATTTTGTTTTGATCGCAAACTACGACTTATAATTAACCTCCTGTTCAATTTTCTGTTTTATCTAACAATTATGTGCACAGATTATCTACTAAAAAAAAATTACTCACAAAATTAAAGTGTCTATATATTTATAGACATATAAATTATAATCTATTAGAATAAGCTTAAATATGGCTAAAATGTAATTATAGTTTTACTACGTAAAAATACTCAAATATAAGTTGTCTGGGCAGATAGGTTCGAGTTAGGGCAATTCCTGCCTATTGCGTGTTTTATATCCAAAATCGTTTTGGAGTTTAGACATTTGAAGGGCCTACTTTATTCGGTATTCCGTGAACATTTTTTCATTCATTTCGTTAACATTGTTTATATAATACAGTATATTATAAGCAATCTCGTATGAATACTGAGCATATGACGTAAGTGTTACACAAAAAAACAAAACAAAATATATAAACTCCGGTAATTGTCATTACTATGAGGATAGGTTAGGTATTTAGTATAATACTCGCTTGTATAAAATGTCTTCTGCCATTTTCATATTCTGAAAGAATTGATGGGCGTCGCCGCCGTCAATCACTGAATAATTGATTCTTGACTGTCGGGCCAACTGTTGTAGGGATTGGACTGGAGTCTGCAAACGCGAATCGCATAATAAACAATAATAAAAAAAAAAATAAAAAACCAATGAAATTCGGGTGTAGTATAATATATTATAAGTACGATGTTGATAATTTAATTTATACGTATTATACATAAAGCCCATCAGGTACGTAGCCAGAAAATGACAATTGAGGGGGCCGACAATTTTGGGACCTTCTATAATTTTTTATAATTTGTTTCCAATGGACAGCTTGTGGGAGTTTCTCCCTCACACTTCCCTTTAGGTGGTATCCCATACCAAGAATTTTACTGATTCAAAATTTGCATTTGGTTGGTTAAAAACAAATTATTCTCATATCAAGTTTACCAATTACAGTATTACAAAAAATGGATGGTGCCTATAATTAAACAAATAAATAAAATGATCTACATTTCACTAGGGGATACATTTTGCATGATGTGAAAAATAAATCTATTTCAAATATAATTGTTAAAATGTTGATACAATTTTTCAATTTTTAAGCTATTATGTGAAATTAATTCATCTTAATACTAATAAAAACTAAAACTGATAAATTATTTTTAAATTAAACATAATATATAAACAATGTGAAATTTGTTTAAAAAAAGTACAAAAACAAAAAAACGGACATACTTCGCATGACGGGTGGGCCACTATTGTAAGTGGGAAGTTAGTAGGTAGGATACATAAAGTTATCCAATATTTATATTTTGTTCACAATTATAAACCATTGCTAACGATTCGGAACGAAGATCGGTTATACATGTTTTAAAAAGCTGTAATATTTACGATTTTCGACAAAATTTGATATTAAATATCTTATAAAAAAAAATTACTACATTAAAAAAAGTACTACATTAAACTCAAGGTTTTTTTTTTTTTACCACAAAATATAGCTTATAATGAACCTCCTCTTAAATTTTCAAGTATTTCTGTTTAGTTAAACAATTTTATTTATAGAGTGTATCTACCGAACTAAAATTACGCGTGAAAAACTTGCAAAATAAAAATATCTATAATTGATACTTAGTAAAAATAATTATATTATGAATTTGAAGGGGGAGTGGCTCAAGACTAGATTAAACTTAAAGTGCGCCAGGTTCACCTAGGCCTCCCCTTGGCTAATACTTAGAGCCCACTCCTTAATGGGAGATTAAGGGGGAAAAACGTAGTCTAATTCATGATTTAGAACATGAACACTAGAAAAAGGACATCGATCACAGGAGGCTGGAGCGAAAAAATGTGGTCCAAAATGATCGTAAATCGTTAGAATGCGCTTCGGTCGGTAGTGATGTCGGTTTTACATGTATAGGGAATTTTTTGGTTTTTATTATTATAATCTAAACGGTGAAACTAATGAATAAAAAAAGTGACATCATTTTTTTTTAAAATGGACGTCCTAGGATAATGGGGACGGATGCAGCCACTGTTATAGGTAATTTAATGTATACCTGTAAGCAACGATAAGAATAAAAAGATAAAATTATAGAAAAACTTATTATTTTCTAAAAAGAAGTAGTAACCATAATATGTTTTAATGAAATGCCATGTAGATTCGTTTTAGAGGGGCGCATTTTATTAGTCACATACCCTGGACTTTCTGGACTGATTGTTATATTACCTAAATATTACCATAAAAATATGTAGGTAAAAAAGCAAACAACTATTTAAACAAAAATTTAAAAAAACCCATGAACAACCATGAACAATTATAGACAGTAGAATTTTTTATGATTGTGTTAGTACTTAGTGTGTGATAAAACGTATTCATTGATATCATATTATTGACATATACAATTCGAAAATATTTTTTTTTTAAACAATTATATCTCTTATTCTACAAGTCGTATATACTTGGAAATACATCTATTTGATCGAATTTATTTGTCTTCAAAAAACATTTTACAGTCATTATTTATTAGTTTCACCAATTATATTACAATAATAAAAAACCAATAAATTCTCTATGTAAAACCGACACCACTATTGACAGAAGCGCATTTTAGCGATTTGTGATAATTTCGGACCGTCTTTATTTACACTGATCAGCGTCCTTTCTCTAGTGTTCATGGTTTAGAACTATGTTTATGCACAATTTTAACTCAATTCGTTCAATATAGTTTTGAATGAATTGGTAATAAATCTTCATCTATACAAACGTTCACATTTATGATTACTGTGGGTGAACTTAAGCTAGGAGATAGACATATACCATCGCGGACTTTTTTTTATCCAAAACATCGACTTTTTTTACTTTCTATAAATAATATGCATGTATTATATGGTGACACGGAAAAAGAATCTGAGCGACACGACTTCACTTTCGGATGGAGAAATACGTGTTTCATCCATTGCATATGAGCAAAAACAGCTGTGACTATTATTCAATGAATAATTTGAATTTTAAGTTTGGGGTATAGGTACATGATAATTTTTATTTGTATTCTCAATTATAGGGTATAAACGATAGTAAAAGCTAGTGGAATACACTAATATTATTATACATTAATATCATTGATAAAGGACGTACAAAAAAAAAAAAAGGCGTTCAATAAAAAAATTTCCTATTCCGACCAAAAAAAGTTCTGAAAATTATGAATTGTGTCACTCAGACCATTTTACCGTGTTACCATCGGTAGAATAAACATTTTGGAAGAAAATCTCTAAATTATAGTCAAAACCGTATCAAAATTCATCGCATAGTAAAGTAGCGCACAAACAGTCAGACGCGGATACCGACTTGTGTTATACTATTTAGAGATAAATAATTTTAGTTAGGAACTCACTTGCATTCTTTCCACCGTTAGAAACGCGGCCAAATTGGCGGTGAATGTGGCCAGCATGAGTACGACGAAAACCCAATAGGCGGCAACCAGTACACGGCCGCTGATGGCTTTTGGTGTTTCACCGCCTCCTTGAGGCGTGAACGAAGTCAGGGCGAACCAAAAGCTTTCGACGAGAGTGAAATTCCTGTTGTAATCATAGTATTTTTAGAAAACGGTTTTACTGTAAATTGTATAGGTATCATAGCGTAATAATATTTTTCTGAGGCTGAAACCACATACGGATCCAGAGCAAAGATCTGGGAGGAGAAAATAATTGTATTACAACAAAAATAATAATATATAGGTATATAGGTATATAGTATATACGTATACTTTATTCTAAATTTCCAAAATATTAACTTGTATTAATATTTTAAATGACCAAATTTAAATTTCCTTTTTTTCATATTGTCACTTTTTCTTTAGTATTTTTATAATTCAAGGATTATAAAAAAATCTAAGAAATTATGTGTCTAGGAAGGGAAGAGGTTGTGGCGCCTTTGTTTCTTTGGATCTGTCTCTGGCTGGAACCGAACAGAAAATAACCTGTTTTGGAATCCGAAAACACCCTTAAAATATTATGGAATTACAGTGAATTAAAATGTTTCGAAAATCCGAACAGAAATCGGAACATTCGAATGAAATAATTGAGATTCGGAATCAGAAAGAGAACCGAATAAAACAAAAATATCGCTATACGGACCTGAATTGTTCGTATTTGAGTTTGTTGTTCTGTGCACTGTACGGTGAATATTTGTCCAGTATCCAAATCATAAACGCAGTGACCGTCAGAGCAGCCACAATACTTAGCCAGACTTCAGGTTTTAGTACCGTCATGAATTTGAACAAAGAAGTCTTGCGCGATGGTTTCCTGATCACTATAAATACAATAGCGTGGTTGCATGATAGATAGTATATTATAACAATATTTATAGTATACAATTTTAAGATAAGATTCAGAGCGTAACGAGGAATGTATTATTGGTATTACAAAGATATTTTTTTTTTGTATTTTTTGTGTATGTGAACTTTTCAACCAAAAATCTCGCTTTTATTTTCAAGTGTAGTTCTTTTTCTGAAAGAAAATTTTATCAGGTTGGTTCTTTTAAGAGGTAATTTTTCGATTTTCTAAGCGGTTTTCATAATAATTTGGAAAAACCGGGAAAATGTACGTAAATGTATGAAAAGAAAAAAAAAACATTAGCTTCGAATCGTTTTTTTCGTTAGTTTACCAATGGTTTATTGCGTACAGATATAAATTAAATTTCTTTCTATATTCTATCTTCCCAACTTCCCATTTAAAACAGTGTTATACCAGTGTCTAGTATCTAGATATTTTGTTTCAGTTACCCTATACTTAATGCATATACCTACCTATCGATATTCCCGATTGGTCAAAATATGGTGCGATAAAATCGATCACTTCTTCTCGATCGGACGTCATTGTCAATGAAGCGACTACGATGTCTAATTCCTAGAACCGTCGCACCCGTGGTAAACAATAATAGTGTTAAAAAAATTTAATACTTATATAATCTTATACGCATTGTTGTAACTCACTCCTTCTACTAGTCCGCCGATTAACCCGTTCCATTTATTGGTGGTAGAGTCAAATTCACCGAATTTATTTTTGGCAATTAATTCGTATTTGAAATTCATTTCTTCGGCGAGTTTTTCAATTAAATCGATACAGTAGCCTTTCCACGTGTCCTCCATAAACGTCCAGGGAATGGACTTTGGGAGTACTCAATTATTTATCGGATTTAAAATATTATATAACTGCTTAGTTTATAATCGTGTATAATAAAATATGTACATTATACAAATTATTGTGTATGACACTTTTATCAGCTGGTTGTGATCAGTTAAAACTAAAATTGAATTGATATTAAATATGTCCTGAGGCTTTTAATATCGTTTAAAACAAATCGACAAGGTACACAAACAATATTTTTAAGCTGAATTTTAATTATATTAAACATATTTATCATAATATCATAGTATACATGTATGTTTAAAATACAAAAAAAGTTAAATTTTAAGCATCACCATTCACTCTAACTTGCATGCTGTAATAAATAATTTGCCTCGATATATTATAATACCTTTGCGATTCCGATTCGGAAAAATCGTCGACCGCTGACTATGGTCGAAACCGAATATTTCATGTCCAAACCATTATTTACGGTCCATAAACCTATTTCGTGAGGTACACCGTCCGCACTGACTTTATACATTATCGCCCGATCGTTGTACGTAACTAAACCGTTGTTAACGTTGTAATGAAATTGATTTTTATTTACGTCCTAAAGATTGAGTAAGTGATTTTAAATTTCAAGTTATTAAAGATAATGGTTTAATAAGCTGTTCAGTTATAATAACATAATACATACTGAGTTTATTATGTCATCTATTTCTCTTCGTTTTTGTAACGCCAACTCGTCAGAACTCAGGTTGCAATTAAAATCATGACGATATTTCGACTCGTGTTTGAGAAAATTTAAAATAAAGTTCAAAAATATCTTAGCCCGTACCGTTCCATCCGTTAGTTCGTTGTCCCAAGACGTAAACTTCATGAGTGAAGTCGGCGCCATCGGTGATTCAAACTTTAACTTTTTCGATTTATTCGTAACTATTATCCACGAATCGTCGTGTTTTATTAAATGTTCGTGCTGTATCTAAAAAGAAAAAGATTATATAATTATTATTAGCTACATAAAAAAAAAATTATTATTTTTGTATTATACCGTCTTTAAATGTTGTTCCAGATTATTCCCTATTAGCGCTACGTGTCTAATGCCGATTTTCGTATTCTTGAGTTGTTCGATTTCATTGGACGTTAGGCGATATAAAACGATAGCTCTCAAAGACGATTCTCTCGAAGTTAGATATGCGATAGCTTGATTTGCATCTAATAATGAGTAATGCAATTCGATATTATAAAATAAAGATCTGTACTGTCTACTAAATCGATAAAAAATTATAATAATTTACCTTTTTTATTTGTGAAAACGAACGTAATTTCTTCTGTAATGTTTAACCACGTGACGTAGGATTCGATAAGTCGCATTACTGGTTGAATGTATGAAAAGTCAGTTTGGAAATAAGCCATCGAATTAGCGTTACTAATCTTCCAACACGGCGTACACGGGGGATTAAGAAGATCAATAGCGGTTAATGCGTTTTTGGACGATTCGCAAACTGTTCAAAGTATTTAAAAAAAAAAAAACTCAACATAAATGTAAATTCCCCTAAAAAAGATTTCACTATATTGTATTTTACGCGTATGTATATTTCACTAAAATGGTTTTGACTCGTGCCTATAGTTGTTGTTTGCAAAATTGCAAAGAACACACGGCATAATATTTACTCAGACTTATTTGTTTTATATAATATACAATAAATTGATCATGAATACACATTATATCAGTATAAGCTAATTTAATATAACATTATTTAACTAACTTATTACAACGAATTTATAGTATCTGTAAACAAGATGATACAATGATAAAAAAAAAATTCCTATTTATTAATAATAATATTTAAACATTGTCGTACTCTGTTATTTTTTTCGGGGAATTTACGTACGTACAGTAATACACTTGCACAATTATTTTAGAGGAGTCTACCATTAGGGAATTTTACCTATTTACTTTTTAAGGGAGTTTACAATTGTCCATTTAAAATGTATCTACCAACAGTGTCATAAATAATCATAAGGCGATTAACGTAATTATCTTGAAACAATTTCAACACCAATACTTATTTTAATTAAAACTTCATATTATATTTATGGAATTTAGAATAAGGTATTTGCTATTAAGGTATAAAACTATTTGAACGTCTGCAGATAGTAGATTCACTACCAAAGATAAAGGTCACAAAAAAATTTTCATTTAATTTTCTAAAAACAGATTCTGGAAAAAGTTAATACTTTCCGAGATAGTGAGTGTCTTATGTTATGTTAATCACCCTGTATAAATATAATTGGAGAAGCTATTAGAGATAGATATCTCTAATAGCTTCTCCAATTACCTAAGTATAATATAAGTGTATAATTAATAATAAAAGCAATTTTTTTTTCTTATTGGTGTTTATGGAAATATTAATCATTCGTTTTAGTGTACATAGGTACCAATATTGCTACCAACGTTACCCATTTCAGGTACACATTTATATTCATATATATTTAAAATGGCTAACGTAATGTTACGTTTGAAAACAACTGTACGTAAACTTAAAAAAAAAATTTGATGAGATATAGGTATGCATATGTTTTTTAATTCTGAACATATTTTAGTGACAGAACTTCAGTGTATTATTCCCGATTTAAAATGATAAAATTGAATAACAATAATTACAATGATCATCGGTCTACCGTTAATTTTTAATTTCTCGGTCAATGTGTTAATGTTTGCCGATGACACTAAATTATATTCAATTATTAAAAATCAGGATAATTCAATTAATCTCCAAGAAAATTTAGATAGGTTTAGCATATGGTGTAACGAAAATGTATTACCAGTAAATATTAAATAAAGTAAATAAATATATAAATAAAAAATGTATATAAAAAAATAAAATAAATAAATGAATCAATGCGCCGCCTGGAGTAATATGATAAGTGTATTATACGACCGGTTTCGATTTAAAAATTCATAATCAGGTATATCACAGTCAAAATATAAAACGTGACTGCATATAAAAAATTAAATGAAGAAATAAATAGAAAAAAAAAAATTATAAATTGGTCGTTTTACATAGAACAAGAAGTAATTTATTCTAATAGGAGATATTATTTAAAATTAGTTATTATTAGACATGTCTATCTAACATATCTGACATTATCAGATATGTTAAGAAATTTAAACTATTTCGTTATTATTTTTAAAATCGGTTTGAACATTAAAAATATTATTAAAATTATTTTTAATTTTGTTTTTACTTTATTATTTCATTAATAAATATTAATAAATGCAATGCTATTTCTTTCACTAGAAAAAAATTATCCCTTAGTTTTTCATTATAAAATTAATATTATTATCATTAATCGAGTGGATTCAGTGAAAGATTTGGGTATTTTCTTTTTTTGTAATTTATCTTTCTCTTTTAATTCTAATTTAATTATAAATAAGGTATTTAAAATGCTAGGTTTCATATTAAAAATACTAAAGAATTTAAAAATGCTCATGCACTAAAAACGCTCTATTGCTCCTTTGTTGGGTCTAACTTAGAATTTGGTTCATTGATATGGGGTCAAAATTCCACTGATAAACTTGTTGACAATATTCAATATAAATTCCTAAAGTCAATTGCCTTCCGTTTAAATTTATATTCAGCCATGTGTGGTTAGACGTAAGCTATCTGATATCTTATTTGTCTATGATCTTCTCAATAATAATATTGATTGCCCTGATTTATTATGTAAGATCGGTATTTGTAAGCACAAATATTCGATAAGAAATTTAAATATATTTTTTGTACCTTTTTTAAAAAAAAAACTACACCGATTCTCTTTTCCTGAGAGCGCTTTTACTTTGTAATATAATTTGTACTTATGTTGATTTCTTTTTCATGTCCCGGGAATGCTTTAGGTCAAAAGCTTTTATTATTTTTTCAAACTAAAACTTACTTTTATATTTTTGTGTCATATTACCTTGTCAATATACCTTTTATCAATCTATAATATTACTGTATGTATTATTCTATTCCTTTTTTATTCTTTTTTTTTTTATTGTTCTTGATGTTATCATTGTTTATTGTATTTAAAAGACTATTGTCCCGTAAAATTTTAATAATAAATAAATAAGTGAATAAACAATAGTAAAAAAATTATCAAACACTATACAAATTATTCAATATGCCAAATAAATATTCCAGAGTTTATTTCTACATTTATCATCTATATAATAGGAACTCAAAATTTATATTATTAATGTTATTCGCGTTTGACGCATATATAGGTAAATCATAGTTATCGTACATTTGTTAGTTATATTATTATATGGGTCGTTAAAAATCGGTTCGATCGACACATCGTTGTAGTTTTTTAATACGGACGATAATTGAATGTAGTTTGTGTCGTTTTCGCTTTCCGTTAATATACCTGTAACATATGAAACGAAAGATTGTTAATGTTACATAATTTTATACATTACTATGTAGTAATAATCAGGACTGTAAGTCCCACGCCCATAATAATCAGAACTCGGACTTAAAACACTTAAAAATTACAAACAAATTTTAAAGAAGCCCTAAAAGCACTTGACATTTTATTTTTAAAGCAAAATTGTAAATCGGTTTAAAAGTTCTTTCTTCTACAGCTGTAATTTAATAAATAACATTTTCCAACACTACAAAAGTAACAACACAATATACATATTAATTTTGTTTAAATTAAATTGTACGCAAGTATTTAAAAATAAAATTACTTCGTGTTAATAATTTGTGTAGTGTTCAAAAATAATGTTTAATAAATTAGCATCGTTAGAAGGACAATCTTTTAAAGTTCCTCACCATTTTGAGATTTTAGAAAAAAATTCTTAAGTGGTCTTTTTGGAGCTTTTTTGACGTTTTTAAGCGTTCTTTGCAGATTTAAGTGTAAATAGCTCCGAGCCTTGGCAATCATTTTATTAAAATGACGAGTATAATATATATTTTCACATTTTTATTTATATAGATTTAAAATAACAGGTACTTGTGTTGGGTATTGTGACTACCGTGGACTACCTCGGCAACCGCATTTCGGTTATTATGATTTTTTGTTAATCACTACTTGAACATTACTCAAAGTAATATCATGATAAAATCTATATCTAAATCTTTTGTTATTAATCCTTAGGAACCTACCCTAATCTAACCATTAGTTTGTTGCAGCTCTCTATGCTTCTCTGTTGTAACATAGTTCTTGAAGGTCCTTATTCATATCCTTCATTATTTAGGTTATGTATTTTGCCCTAGATGTTCCATGTGTCCTTAAATATTATCTTCAATTATTGTCTTTATTAAATTTCCATGTCTTAATATGTTTCCTATCATCTTATGCATTTTGGATTGAATATTTTTCATAACTGTCGTTTTTCATTTATCTTGTTTAGTACCACTTCATTTGTCACTCTCTCGAGATATCTTAAAATTATCCTAAGGTATCCTAAGCATTTTCCTAAAGCACCACATTTCAAAAGCTTCCAGCCTATTTTTCTCCATTAAGTTGATTATCCATGTTTCGTATACAAGAGCGCCACACTCCATCAAGAGTCTATTGTAAGATACTTATTATCTCGGAGAGTATTAACTTTTATCGGAATCTGTTTAATTAAGAAACTTAAGAAACAAGCAACTCTAAAATTTTACATGTATGTTATTTTTTACTATTTATACTACTTATTTTTAGGGGTAAAACCACTACCTACTTTTGATTTTCAAATGGCAATCCATATTTAAAATTCCATAAACAGATTTAGTATTAGTTAAAATAAATTTTGGTATTGAAATTTTTGATGTCCGTCAATCCATTATCAAGATATTCCATTTTTAAGTATGGTTTGGGGGAGAGTAGTGATGCATTATTAAAACGCCGCGCACTGTGCCGCCACACAAATGATGCTAAACTTTACCCAAGTTTACGGTATAGCTTTATCGTTTAAAACTCGGCGGTGATGGTATAAAGAAACGCGTTATTTAGGTATGCTTACTGTTATTTTTATGACAACGAAGACTGTTTTAATTTTGACGTGGTATTATTAAACAAAACCGAACGAGTAGACTGTAGGAGGCTCTCTAATAATGCTAATGATGTAATCCAGTATAGGTATTTGTTGATGACATATTATTATTTATGATGTATATAGGTATAATATTTTTATATTATAAAATGTCGAAGACGTACAAATAGAAGACTTGGTAAAATTGCTGTAAGACATCTATTTTATAGCGTACATTACGTTCGTAAATAACGGTCGGTATATTTTATAAGAAATATTATTATACAAGAAATTATTGACGATGAACGATTTTTATTAAATATTCATGTCTCAGATTGCATGATGTAGGAAGACATTTTCAATATTAAATCGTTTTTTTCCTAATACGTTCTTCCTAGTACATCGAGAATTTTATCGAACGCGATAAATAACTCAGACTCCTCTGAGGTTAGGTAATTTTATTATTATTATTTTTAAATTCTTAGGAATGTATTACCACTTTATTTCCTAGTACCTTTACTAAGATACGTGTGTTTTATATTTTTAATTGGAAATCAATTTTTCGATTTGTGATTTCGTGAATTTGTTCATGAAAGATAACTGGAATTTTGTGCCAATGTTAATTTATTTGTAAAATTTTTCGAAATTTTCTACACTTTTAAAATAAATTGGGTTTTAAAAAAAAATTACTTTTCTGATGAGTAAAATGAATCCTAAATCAAATATTTAGATTAAATTGACTTTCACAAAATAAATTGATTTTTGAGCTATTTATAGACATTTTATGTTTATGAGTATTATACGTAGTATTTATTTGGTAGGTACTATGGGGATATCGTTATTTGATTAAACAGAAATATTTCAAAAGTTAACAGGAGGTTCATGTTATACTGTTATACAGTTATATGTTATACTTCGTGAAAAAAAAAAAAAAGTTGATTGTAATGTAATAATTTTTTTTTACAATGGTTTTTTGATTGAAATCGTAAATATTAAAATATTAATATTAGCCTTTCAAATTATGTATAAATAAACTTCGCTTAAAATCGTTTTTAGTTGGCAATGTTGTATCATTGCTTACAGATATAAATTAAATATCTTTATTCATTCTACCTTTCTAACTTCCCACTCACAACAGTGGTGCGTCATTAGTATCAGCTCAATTTTATTTCTGAAATTTATCTTTTTTTTTATTTTTGATCAAGCTAGAAAATTAGTATTTAATATTTTTCAAGTATTTATAAAAATACAAAATTATATAATTATTAAGTTACTAATGTATAGGTTAATGATGTAATAATTGTTGGTCTTTTATTACTTAGTGAAATTATATGCATTTTATGTTTCGTAAACAGTTTAAACTGAAAATTATCCATGTATGCTTGATAAAAAGTATATTTAAGATAATGAATAATAATAAATATTAGGTTAATAATATATAAACAATATTGAAATTGATTATTATTGATTATTATATAATAAACACGATGAACTGAGAAAAAAAATTGTGTTTAAAACCATCTATACGAGTAATGTCATTTTCGATTCACTTTAGAATCTAAAATAGAAAAGGAGGTAAAAACTGTATTTATTTATACGGTGTACCATTTTTTTCTCGCAGGTATTTTTTTCTCGATTATCATTCAAGCTATAAAATTTCTAATTTAGTACCTATACCTTCTTAAGCGCTATTATTGAATTTAATGTTATTGGACGGTAATAATGATTATAGGGCACATATAACTTGCAGGATATTGGTGTTTTTTTTTTCTGTGCATCTAATTTATAGCTATAACCGAGATTCAAATTCGTTTTATGATCACGAGAATATTATTCATATATTTAATTTTAGATTCTGAGTGGAGCGAAGGAGCTTATGGTTTTACAAAGATGTTTATTTTATTTTTTTTATCTGTAGTGACTTTTCTATCCAGAAATCTTGCTCCGATTTTTAAGTGTGGCAATTTTTCTAAAAGGAAATCGGACTGGGAAGGTCAATGTTTTCATATCGAATGTGAAAAACCAAAAAATATGGAGGGAAAACGGGTACACTAAACAATTTAATTAAAGAAAATGTACAATGTCTATTTAATTATTTTACCATATGTCATATATGTTGTTGACAAGGTAACACTATCAAATGAACTTCGCTCAGAATCGTTTTTTCGTTAGGTACATATTAAATTGCCTATAACAGTGGCTACACCTGATCCCATTATCCTAGTACAGTTTTTTTATACGTAGGTGTCAAATAGTTTGGCAATTTGTCTTTATATATTATTTCAGTGTGCATTTTTCATGGTCTATAGAAAATCGTGTATTTAATACACGTCGCTGTTCCGGTGTTATTGTGGAGTTTTTTTTTTTACGCGTTTTATATCTAAGTACCTACTAATAAATAATACGAGGAGCAAGTAAACTACCTATATGAATAGTAGTTAAATAATTGATCGCATATATAGCCATATATAGGCTGTCCCACGAATATACCCCTTGAAAATCTCCAAATTTAAAAATCTTTAATAATATAGATAATTGAATTCTGTTTTTTTTTTATGTTACTCACAAGGAGGAGGACTATAAAAAATTTGGTATATTTTTTTAATTTTTTTTTTTTTTCATGAAAACACATTAGATAGGTCAATTAACTATTAAGTATCTAAGTATAATAATAAAATAATAAATAATTTATTCCATAGTATATTGAGTATTATAACTTTGAATTAATTAACATAAAAATAAATGTATTTCGCATATATTTAATTGTTTGTGTCTTGAAATTTGAATTTTTGTTTATTTCAAATAGGATATGAAATATGAACGAATATAATATAATATTATTTTCAGCTATTTATGGTGCATATGTATACCTGAATAGGTATGCTATTGTCAAAAGCTATGGTAGAGATCAGATGGCGGGAGCGGAAAAATACGCGTTTATCTAAATATTTATTCTCCGAGTATAATACTAAGTAGTAAGAATAAAAAATGAAGCCAACTATTTTGAATGAAGGGAAGTTAAATTTTAATTTTATGTTGTAATAAATGTCTAATAGTCTAATAAAAGATAAAGGGAACAGTTCCCCAAACCGATTTTAGAATCTCTGTACTGAATGATAAATTAATAATTATTTTTTGCTTAATTGGAGAATAATAAATTACGGTTAAAAATTATTTCTGTTTAGTTTTTTGTGTTTCCTGTTGTTAATGCACTTTGAACGAAATAGTCAGGTTTTTTCCCTCAAATTTATTGCTCTTTTTTACTCCTTTTTCGTATTAATAACAAATTAAGTTAAACATTTTGAACATTCTTTGAGTTTAAAATAGATCATAGTGAATGGCGTTCTCATTAGCTGTAAAAGTCATTAGGCAAATTATACTAGTTCGATCAGCAAAGTAATTCTTGATATCATTGGAAAATAATATTGAAACATGTTATTTTAGATTCTGAGGGGAGCGAATTCCGCTTAGAATCGTTTTTTCGTTAGTTATGGTTTAAAATCGAAGAAAAATTAACTACTACGGGTCAATGAATATAATATTATCGTTTCTGAAAATCACAAACCCAGTGTCATCGTGCAGACTTCGATTTGTTTGTCAAGTCTTTAAAGTGTAATTCACTGCTCTGTATTTAGTTTAATAGCTATTAATAGTTTATATTAATATTATTATTATTATTAATAGTTACTAATAGTTTATTATTAATAGTAACAAGCAAATAGACATAATTTTAAATATGAATTTTTTATTTAATAATGATTAAAATTTATAACAATAAAGATGATTGTAATCGCCTAAGATTAGATTTTGAAAACATGTTTAATACGTCTTCAGGTTTTACATCAATTTGTTTATGGAGCAAAGCTAAACCATTTAAACGGTTTTCTCCCATTGTTGTTCTCAAATATATATTTTATGCGTTTTAATAAGATAATATAAATTTAAGACTAAATCTATTTTATAAACGCGTGACATAAATTAGAATAAGATACTGATGATCGGTGGGAAAGTTACACGGCAAGTCTTTTCAGATAAGCTATAAAATCTGGTTTTGATAAATTACCCATGGTTACGAAATAGAAGTATAATTTTGTCACACTTTCAATATTATATTGTTACATACATATTTAACAATACTTGATACAAAATTACCTGTGACTATAAAATTAATAAAACTTAATTTAGACCAATACCTCGGGTCTCTCCTTTAAATCCGCTACTGCCATGAAAATTATACAACTACACAGTGCTTGTCACTCGTGATTTCTCGTGAAACTATTATTTTTATTTTAGTCAAGTAAAATATATTTTATAACTATTCGGAATATAGTATTGAATACTTCTGAAAAAAGATTTTGTTAAATATTCAGAATACTTTATTACAATACTATTAATTTTACTTTTTTGTTCACTTTTAAGTACACTATTTTAAATTATTTTATAGTCCATAGATAGTAATGATTGTATTCTGTAGCTTGAAATAGAATTAAAACAAGGGTTGTAATTAAAAAAAAATTAAAATAATAAAGCCTTGACATTTTTTTGTATAAAACGTAGGTAGATAATGTGTAATTATTTCTTCAAATATATATATATTAAAAAAAAAACCTTCTATACATTTTATATTGTTGTTATTGTTTGAATATTATTTTGCTGGTAAATTCACCACCCATTTTTAATTTTAAAATAGTAACCTATATTGAAAATCTATAAATATATGACGTTTTTGTTTAAATAGGTACATTGAGAGATTGACGTTTTTAATTTTCACCAACCCGTTAACGAGGTATTTTACTTTAAGGTTTGTGTGGGGGAGAGTAGTAGAACATAATTTGTGTGGCAGCACGCAGAGTTTGATTAGTGCTACACTACTCAGCTTCCTCCACTAAAACATAAAGTGGAATATCTCGTTAACGAGTCGACGAAAATTAAAAAATTAAACATAAAATTGTATTTAAATTAAAACTTCATATATTTGTGGATTTTTAATATAGATTTCAATTTTAAAATCACATGTGGATAATGGATTAAAATAATGGTGAAAAAAATAAGAACAGTGTTAGATTTTTGAATATACGTTTCTAAAAAAATCTTTACATCAGTCATTGTTTCAAAAAATAAATATTTCTTGGACAGTTTGACGGTAACATGAAATTTGGGAGTATTAATATACTGACCTTTAGTATGTACCTGGGAATACGCTATTAATTTTAGCTCTTAATATATTTTACATTTTTTATCCCATAATAGTCGTCATTGCATTGTGTTAGTAATTTGAAGGTAAATTTAATGTAGAGCCAAAACTTTATGTAAATACATTATTTGTATTATTATATTTATTGCGATGCATATTTAGTAATTGTAATAAACTATTGTAAATCGTATTTTATGTTCTATATATTATAAAGGTACCTATACTGCGCAGTGTGTCTCACTCAAACTATCATACGCATTTTTTTTTATTTGGGAAAATCTAAGTTTAAAAATACACATTTTTAGTCTGTTTTAAACATTTAAACCTCCGTGGCGTAGTCATGGGCAATAAAACTTACATTTTTGAAACAGAAACACTTATTTTTTATAACATCTGTCATTCTGTTTTTAACTTTTTATTCCGTTTTTTCAAAACTTATAAATCGCCTGAGATATGATATACCTCTATGAGTACCTAACTAAAATTTATATAAATTTGATTTTTCAAAAAATTTAAAACGCATGACTTCAAAGAGATTTGACTATTATTTGTGGGGAAAAAATGATAAGAAATAATTATTGGTATATAATAATATTGATATGCATTATGTTGTACATTCTTTTAAAAATCTTATTTTTTTTTTTTGTAATCTTTAAATGACCGTAATATCTCAAGCGATTTTTGATGTAGAAAAAAAATATATTAATCAATGTTAGTTCAATAAAAATATGTGCATTTCGGTATTTCCGATCTTCCTTTAAAAACAAACCAGTCAATTTCATTCAAAGTTTATTCTACTGAAATACGTTTCATGTTGGGTATCATTCAAGAGAATTTTACTCCAGTAAAACTAGTAAAAGTATACGATTAACTATTTGATTTTTATCTATTACCTATAGAAAATATGTATTTTTCTTTAAAAAAAATGTAATATTATAATATCTTACTGATTTTATAGACGTCTCCGTTTGTGCATGCTATTAACAGAAATAAAATAAAGTGTTTTATACCGGTCGTCATATTGCTGCAGTGTCAATACCGCTGTTGGAAAAGAACTGAATATATGTAAGTACTCGTATTGAACAATTTATAACCGATGTGACGTCGACCAAAGGTTTGCATGCTTTTGCCAATTATCGGTAATTGGACGGTAAAAGTATTTTATGTGTATAAAAAAAAAAAAAAAATAAAAACCATCTTTTGTAAAACGTCGTTGTTATTACATTATTTAGTTTTTAATACTTGATCGCGAGCGTTGTATAATACATGTGAATACATTAATATTTAATACTTATATATCTGCATGCACGTATATATAAATGCGCTTTTTTAAAATGAAAATGTTGATTGATCGAAAATATTATGTTATGCAGGTACTTCAAAAAGCATATATTTAGCTTTTATATACATCAATACCTATTCCTCTGTGTAAGTCAATAACGATGACGATAGTAGTAATAATAACAATAAAAACAATAAAAAATAACGATAAATCATATCTATACTGATATTTTTTTAAGAAGATAAGTTTTAATATTGTCGTTCGATATATCTAAAAAAAAAAAAAATATAAATATATTATCATACCTAATATTCGTCAGCTAACCAGCAAAAACAAGTAAGTTTTTTTGTTTCTGTTAACAACTTTTCTACCAGAAATCTTACCTCAATCAAAAATTTTATAGGGGCCCTCTTGTAGAATTTTTATCTAGTTGATGCATTGGGGAGCCCATTTTTGATTTTCTTTGCAGTTCTCTAAATAATTGTTTTCTTGTTATAGTTTTGTAAAATTCATTAAAAGCCATTTACGAGTTTTTGATAGGTAGACAACGATGTACTCGTATACACAATTTTTAGTTATTAAAACATAATGTATTTTTTATTTTAATAATTTAAATTTTTAAATTGGACAATTTTAAATATGATACTCTATATTCACACTTTATTAGGGGCTGCAAATGGCTGCCAAAAGGCTAAGTGGTGTTTCTTATACAGTGATAAAAAGTTTGAAAGGAAAATGTTTTTCCATATTATAAATGATTCAAATTTTGAGAATGGAATATAGCAACGGAATATATTCTACTAAAAATGAATCGTGAATCATGTGGTAAAATTATTGCACCAGTCAGAAATTATCCAAGAACGAAACTATAAAGTTATGTAACAAGTAAAAGATTAGAATTACTGACATAAGTATACTACATCAGTAAACGCATCTATTGTACTACAACATTTTTTTCTGTACATTATTTTGTTTAATAATCTGTACCACTTTATGTTTCATGTTTCACAATAAATGATTAGGTTACAATAATTGAATAATATTGATTTGACGACACGAAATTTCACTATTTTATTTATTATCGTTATGCTCGTAGTTTTAGGTAGAAAGACTCAAGTAAGATATTTTGGTGTCCTCTTCAAAATTTGTTAATATTAAAAAAAAAAAACGCATCACCACTCGATCAATGTGTCACACGAGGTATAAAATTCTAATTTAAAATGGCTGCGTAATTCAAATTCAATTATACCAATATATTAAATTAGTAAACTTTCGAGGGACGTACGTACCTACCGAAAGGTATTGTATTAAAATTAATAATTCTTAAAAACGATTAAGAAATTACCCGCGTTTTTTTACAAAAGAAATATTTTTAGTAGCTGGTTTAGTGGCGTGTTACTAAGGGGAAAACCCCTTTCCGTAGCTCTTTTACAATACTATCAGCGATAAAATATTTCAAAATAATTCTATACCTATTTTAGTAAGTATATTTTATTGTTTGTAGTTTATTTTATCAGCCAATTGATTATTAAATTCTCTTTGATTTGCTTCAATATTTTAGAATATATATTCAAACACATTATAGAATAATAATATAATAGGAATACATGTTTAAAAAAGACGGACATACTTTGCACGTGGGTTAGCAACTGTTGTAGGTGAGAAATTGGGAAGATATAGGGGGAATTTAACGTATATCTGTAACGATTAACCATTACTAACGAAACACGATTCTGGGCGGAGTTCGGTTAATAGTGTTGCAACAATATATTGCCAATATATATACAATATATATATATGACATATCATGGTAAAATAATAATATATGCATTTTATATATTCTTTAATAATATTTGTTTAACATTGTCCCTATTTTTTCGTTTTTCTTACGTTTTTCCCTAGGTTTTCCCATGTTTTTCTCGATTTTTCCCATTTATTATGAAAATAACTAGGAAAATCAAAAAATGACTTATCTAAGGTACCACCCCAGTCAGATCTCCTTTCAGAAAAAGTAACCTAACCTTTGAAATTTAATAATCTTGTTAGTAACCAAGAAAGTCGTTTAAGATTCTGAGTGGAGTAAAGGAGCATAAGGTTTTACAATGGTGTTTATTTATTCATTTATTTTTTGTTTTTTTACAACTTTAGTACAATTTATATACTAGAAATTTTACTTAGATTTACAATAATAGCACATTTTCTAAAAGGCAATCTGACTGGGGAGGTAACTTAAGGAGGTAATATTTTGGTTTTCCTAGCTGTTTCATAAGAAATGGGACCAGATAATTCCACTTTAAATTATAAATCAAAAATGTTTTTTAAAAAAACCGTTCTTATTTTTCGGATTTATTTGTTTGTTGAACCGAAATTCTAAAACAATATAATTTTAGTTTCATTAAAAACTAATTAATTATGTTTACCGGATTTATCTGCTAGTTGTTTGCACCCAAATGTAGGGTCTTTTGATTTTAACTCCCAAAAAGTGCGTTTTCGAAAAAAAGAGGAGTGATCTGATTGATTATACCATAGTGTTCAATTATTGTAAGGGTTTCTGTGGTAATAATACGAGAAAATTAAAATTAAAAAAAATGAAGACAAATTAACTACTACGGGTCAATGAATATAATATTATAGTTTCTAAAAGTCATAAACCCAGGTTCATCGTGCAGTCTTCGATTTGTTTGTCAAGTCTTCAAAGTGTATTATACAATACTGTAATTAGTTTTATAGCACTGTATTAGTAATGCAGACATGATTAACGATCAAATTTTGTTTTAATAATAGCGAAACAAATTGTTTAATTCGGTGTCTCGTTTTGGATTTATCGCAGTGTCGCACCAGTATTTTTTTACGCAGCACTATGAAAATAATGCAATTATACAGTGCTCGTGATTTCTGGACCGTAAAGTTAAATTTTCTTCGTGAGTTTATATTTACGAAAATAAAAAACTGTAAAGTTTCGAAACTGTGTATAAAATAAAAATTCACACTTTATTTATTTCATTACGATTATAATAATAATATGAACATCGTTGAAATGCAAATATCTCGTTAACCATTAAAATATTATTTTACGTTAAACTTGGACGAATATTGAAAGCGATTTTTAATGTATTTGTCGTAATTGCAGATTATTATTCAAGTAAGTGATTTTCACTGTATTTTAAAAGTAACAATATATTATTATTATTATATATTATATGCTAGGCGTAAACGACGGTTTTAAAACTATACATTATTTTAAGTAGGTGCCTATGAAAAATATTACACCAGAAGTCTTTTTGATTAGTATATCATATAAGAAGAAACACCGCGTGAGTGTCAAAATGATTATACGTGCCATTTTAAATAATAAACAACAACGATTGTAAGTGGATAATGGATATATTATGAGAACCGTTGTATTGTGTTCATTAGAGGTTATGTTCCTCGAAAATTTAATGGATCTTTTATGTTTCGAGTCCTTTAGAATTCGTTAGTCGTTTGTTGCTGAGAGGTTTATTATAATACTCCGACTGAATATAAGATTATTGTTATTTATAATTTTCCGTATTTGTACGAGCGCAGTATTATCACACCTGCTAGAATGATTAAATAATATTACGAGCGTTGCAATATATATGTGTAATACACATTGTGTATGTATAAGCGGTGGAAGGAAGACTTATGTACACGTATTATGATAATAAATTGTTAGATTGGTATAGATATTTAATCATAAAACAATCAGATAGTCGATTGTACGATAGAATTCAATAAGATATATGAAGTTTAGCTACCCTATACTATAGAGCAGTGGTCTTCAACCGGTGGGTCACGACCCATTTTTGGGTCGCGTAAGCTTTAAAATTGGGTCGCGATAAGTCCTTTTCTTAAAATTTAAATTAAATTTATAAAACTATATAAGGTGAAACAAAAATAATAATAATATAATATTATAATCATAATGGATATCATGTATAATATTTCATATTACACTGGTATGATTCTACGTAGTAAGATATTGAGATAAGAATTTATGATTAAACTGAATAAACTGTGTTATTAATAGAATTAATATGCATTGCTATTGTTAGAGTACCATAATCGGCATAATCTACGAATATTATCGATATTATCAATGTTGTTGCTGTGTACTAGCTGTCTGAGAAGTAGGTATTATAAATGTTAGTCGCGTTATTATTCTAGTGACTAGAATCTAGTCGTATTTACGTATCTGTTAAAAAGTTTTTTTTCGTTTATTTCGCCAACTTTGCATTAATATTTTTTTGTTATTTAATAAAGTAAATTATTTAATAAAATGGATAAATTCGTTATTCGGAAAAGTGGTCAAATTAATACACACGAAGACATGCCAACGTTATCACAGGTACCTCCAACTTCAAACGCTTCAAAAGTAGATTCTATAAAAATAATTTCAAATGTCACAGTTTTCATGTCATGATATGTATTTATCAGATAATTTATGGCATAAAAAACATGTTTGAAAGGTTATTTTTGTTAAGTATAAAATTAAACAAAGAAAAAAATCATACAACACTATCAATAATAATTTTTGAATGTCGTATCTAAATGTGTCCGTATTATTTTTTTTTTCCAAAAAGTGTTCAAAATATTTAACCTATATTTTGTTAATGTGCATGATTTGATAAAAACACATCCTAATGTAATTATTTGTATTCGCTGCTCAAGAAGTATCGCACGGGCAAAAAACGCCGGTTTTCTTACCTTACCATTTTTGTAATTATAAGTAAATTACATTTTTTGAGTTTCATGAGTAACCGTGTGTGTTTGTCAGAAAAAAACTACCGTGAGTTTCAACTGTTTCAAGTATTCAAAGTACCTACTATATTATGCTTTTGAATAATGAAAAGCTGTATTGTAGTTAAAGTGGTTACATATAGTATATACACACGGAATATACTAAATTAGCCTGTTGACACAAAGGCTATTTAGGGTGTAATCAATTAGTCGTATAAACGCACACGTGTGTGTGTGTGTGCGCGTATGTGTATGTGTGTGTGACATTATAAATTAATCACCTAAGAAAAAAAATTAATTAAATTCTACTTTCGTCATTTTCTATGTAAAAGTATTTTCCAAACATTAGTTAAATACAAATTGTAATAATATTTTATCTGAACGTAAACCTCTAATTGATCTCAAATTTAAAGTTTTATAAATTATTATTATTATGATTTGTAACCATTATTGGTTTGGTGTTAGAGATAGCCAGAAGGAAGGGAAGTGCTGGTTTGTAGTGGAGATTCGTGGAGCACTAATAAAACGCCGCGCACCGTGTCGCCACACAAATGATACTCAGTTACTCTCCTCTTACTTGAACTTAAAGGGGGAATATCTCGTTTACGGGCTGACGGAAATAAATATTGTTGACTCCAAAATGTATTTAAAGTAACACTCTGTCTATTTATTGAATTTTAAATGTAGGTTCTCATTTGAAAAACCAAAGTTGGTATCGCTATACAGGATACTCCTTAAATGAAAAATCTGAATATTCTAAAATATTAGCTTTAACTACACTTAAAAATTCCAAAAATCAGAATTTGAATACATCCAAAATTTGAACGAAAAAATGGATGAGTACGCTTAGTAAATCATTCTGCATAAACATTTATATGCATATTTTATTTATTAAACTAATTTGAAATTAAGATACAATATTCCAATATTATTCAAATACTAGATTGACTTTTTGCATTTGGCAGAAAAGGAAATGCGGTAAGACTCATTATTGTCCCATTACAAAGAAGATACAAATGCATGGAAGCACAATGGAACCTTTTTTCAGAAGTTCTCGATTCAAGCATAGATAATTTCAAACCACTACCCGAATACTATAAAACCTCTGTAGAAAAAGTAAAACGTAAACGTACATCGGAAACGGACGTGTATCGATTCCGCCGATTTTGTATCAATTCCACCGGCAACTGTAAATAATATACACATTGTCGAAAGAGCAAAATTCAATCCATACATTTGGGTTTTTTTATGTTATTTATCAAGATAAATAACATTAGGGTTTTATAAAATACATTCTGTAGTGATATTTTTCTATAATTATTCGTTTTCCATGGATCTCCTTTTTTGTAAATTGGACAGATGATGCTTACATTCCATTCTTTTGGAATTGTTTCATTTGTCCAAAATTGTTCGATGAGTCTATGTAAATATTTAGTTAGTCTTTAGGACCACCTGCTTTTATCATTTTTGCGTTTATTAAGTTTTTTCCTGGGGCTTTGCTATTTTGTAACTGCTTTATAGCCTTATGTACTTCTTCCAGTGACGGGTTATCTATGAACGGTTCTGCCGTCGTCAAGACCATGCCGGGTTCACTACCTGAAGTATCATGTAATTTATTTAACAATTTTTCAAAGAAATTGGAAAATTTCTTTGGAATTTTCTCATCTTGGATTACTATAGAGCCATTTTTCTTGCTTATAATTTTTGTTTGATGCTTAAATCCTTGTTTAACCTGATTGCATTTCCTAAAAAACAGGTTTATATTGTACCTATTTGCTTTTAATTCTTTAAATTTTTCTTTTTTGTGCTATCTTTTACATCGGTGTAGTATTTTGCTAGCTTGTATCATCGTAAGTCTGGCTTTATTCCGACTTTCTATTGCATTCATACATTTACTGTCGAACCATGCCTTCCTTTTCGTATTTTTTATCGGTCCCATTGTTTTATCTGTCGCTTCTTGGATTGCGTTTTTTTTTCTTCTACGTCCATTCTACGTTTTGATGTTTCGTTCGGTACTTCGTTTTCTGTTGACTTGACAACCAAGTGTGATATGGATTTTCATATGGTATTTTACCTGATAAATGCAATGCAATAAAAATAAATGAAAATAAATAAATTCTGAAGTACTTACTTAACTTTTTACATTGATCCTTCGTATAATTGGTATATAGAATAGTACTGAATAGACTCGCATATAGAATCCGCGGGTAATCGTATAAATAACTAACAATTAACTGATATCGTATCATTTGTAAAGTTTCTATATTATTATATTAACATTTTATTATATATTGATGGTGTATCGGTTACAATGTTGCGATAAGTAAAACGATAACCTGTATTAAGTACAAACGCCGCAAACTATTATTTTTATTATATATCTACCAAGCAAAATACACATTAACATACATGGCGTTTTTGCTTAGCGTGGTTTTACCTGGTATTAATGCATTTGTCGACTATTTACGGCATTTTGTCAAAACCAATATTGCTAATAGCCGTTTTATAGAATAATATTTCAGACGTACTGACCCAAAACGTCTGAATTTTACAATTTTTTTAACGTATATAACTTATTTTTACAATTAATGTTTGAACTTACGGCGTTTTTGCTCGGGAGGGAAGTATACGCCATCGCCGCTCGGGCCGGGCGCGAAAAGGTTCTGTAAATACGTTTACCGGTCACTGTATATTTAATACAATCTACACCTCGACGTGATGTAAATGGTGGCGATAACTTACACTACCTATATACGCGTTATTATATTATGAACATAATAGCAGAGTACACGCACGCGCGTGTTGCGGTCATTGTTTGCCGCAGCGTTTATAATATAATAAACAATATCATAGAAACTCATGGCTCCGGTACGCTCTCTGGGTGGCCGTCGCCCGTCACCCGCACTCGCGCGCAACATGGGAAATCCGTCTGACGGGTTTTCCCGCCGACACATACATATTGCAATGCGTGGACGCGCGCGCATAATGCAATTTTAGCCGACGACAAGCCGGAGTGCGGGTTTTACCTAGGCGCGCACGGTTTTGACCTATTTGCCGCCGAGAAAAAAGGATATTATATACGTAACGTGGGCGGTCGTGGTGCAAAAGCCGTGTAATAATAATGCGCGCGTAACACGGACGGACGGTTCGCGCGACGCCGGTCGTTGGCCGAGGCGGTCGCGGCCGTACGCCCGGAGAAAAACGGCGGTTTTATAGCGCGGAAAAATCGCGCGCTTTTCCGGGACGTCAGAGGCGTCCGCGCGCACACTTGTGTGGTGTGCGCGCGCGTGTGCGTGTGGGCGCGTGCACGCGTCCGCCGTTCCGGGCCTCCGGTCGACTGTGGCCATCGCGGCCCGTCCAGCCTCGCTGCAGCACCGGACGACGACGACGACCGCCGCGCGGTGGGACGCAGAGGCTTAACGCGCGGACATTGCGGTTTGGTGGCCCGCGTCGCATTAAAATCAAACGAAACCGTTTGTTCGCGCGTCCGATATCGAAGGGAAAAAATCCGACCCGTTTTCAATTTGTAATACACATTTTTCATTGTACTTACGCGTTTACGCGACAACGGTCAGAGAGACGCGGTCGCGTCTAGTCGATTGTGAATAATTATATCATTACCGTTATCGCATATTTTGTGTAATAATTGTACGGTATCGCGTGTGGCGCGCATCGGGCATTTTGTCCAGATTTTTAAAAAGAAAAAGAAAAAAAAAAAAAACATTTTTTATTTACGTTTAAATTGTACACCATGAAATATCGCTATTCGTCCTTTTATATATGTTGTTACATATACTTTCACGAACAATTTTATTTTCTGAGATCATTCTAATTCAACTGAAAAGTTCTGAGGGAGCCATATAATTAATTATAATTATATTATTGTACCTATATATATATATATATAGGATTTCCACACTTTTTGTCACACTAATTTTCGAGGCTGGGTGAAACGACTATAGCTACTTTTGATTTCCAAATGGCAACCTATTATAAAAATTCCGGAAATAGACGGAGTATTCGTTAAAAAAAAAAATGTCGGTGTTGATGTTTTTATTTGTTTATTCTAACTTAACCTGTTGACGAGATATTCCAAGTTTGGACAATGGAGGAGTAGCTGAGCATCATTCGTGTGATGTCCACTACGCTTTTTCCATCCACACTCGAGTACCCACACCTAAATATCGAGTGCAGGCACTTAAATGGATCACTCTGATATTAAAATGAGCAGTTATTGGTAATAATGGCTAAATCAAAAATTAATCAGTTTTCATGATAATTGGAGAAAATCCGTAAAAGACGTAAAATGAAAATTGACATATTATTACGGCATCGCGATTTTATTATTCTAAATTTGTGCGATTTATGTTTTCTACCATAAATCTTGTTCGAATCCCGACACCGACACCATATATTCATAAACTTACGTTCTGTGAAGCTAAGCGTATAGTTATTGCAGTCGATAAGACTCGCTGCTGGTGGTACCCCGGTGCGACGTATTCGTATTTTTTGAACACTTGTAAAAATTGATAAACACTTTGTAAAAAAAAAAAAAAAAATTAAAACGCTATGATCGCTGGACAACGGCGACTTGCTTCCACGACTGCGGCACGGACAATGATTTGGCCGTCCACCTAAAAGTACTTTAACGAGACAAAAAGCGAGCAAATATGGGTGGGAGCTAAGAGACCAACTCATACAGGACCGTGCAGGATCGTGCAGGATCGTGCAGGATCGTGCAGGATCGTGCAGGATCGTACAGGATCGTACAGGTATGAAACACGATGCGCACTGCTGTCGATATACTGTGAACGAATTTGTGCATGATCTAACAGGAAAACCGGGAACAACACATTTTCTCATACAGGTCATGACATGCAAGAAACACGCTGTGCGCATACGCTGCTGACGATATACGCATATGTACATTTTTTCGTAATAGATTCTCGGAACGATACGCATAATGTGGAGGGTCGAGAGGTCCGTTGTCGCCAACGATTATACTTCGTATAGAGCTATGCGATTATAATTTCGCATTGTGCAGGAAGGAGGGGGCGACGGCGGGGGTTGTGGCGACGATTATATTCCGTGTAGGTAACAAATTGCGTACGAGTAATATTATTTTGGTAAACCATAATAATGGATGGTGTAACACAGACGGGGAAAATATATTTCGTATACTTGCTATGCATTGAAACATCATATCTTGTGATAACAGTGTAATGATAGGCTATTTAAACTATCATACATAATGTAAAATAAAATATTATGTAGTGTAAGAAATAAATCAAACAATTAATAACGGGAACGAAAGTTAAACATATACATCCAATTCCATATTTTTTTTTATCAAATAACATATATTTTAATGCGATATCTACTCATCGTAAGGATATGATATTTAAGTTATCATATACAGTTAAAATAAAATGTATTATCAATGTTGTAAAATAATTATAATAATCTATAGCCATTAAGTATTAGATTAAGTTGTTAGTATTAACCAGATTAAGATAGACACACGCACACACACATAGGTCTCCAGTTATAAGGAGGCCGGCCACTTCTAATCACCAGCAGTGCGGGTATTGTTCCCGTTGCTTTTGGACAGATGATCACAAGCGAGTGTAAATACTACGCAGAGATTCTTACAAAAGCACGGGAACCTAGAACAGTGTTTTATATTTAAAAAATTAATAAAAAAAACAGTTGTTACATTAAAATATTTTTATTTATTTCGGTCACCTTTATCAGATTCAACAGATCATTTGCCGCCTGAAGGAGAAAGGTAATCCAATTTATAATTAACTTATACGTGTGAATCAATTTTATATAATTAGGCTGACCCCCTTATATTTTTGATTAATACAACAGTAGGTATACCGATATATGTATTGGGTATATCTCGTAATAACAGTAGGTATAATCGTGATAAGATAACCTTGATGAGAGTAACCATAAAGGTACAACGATAAGTATTACTCGTGATAACAGTGTGGTAATAATGTCGAAAGTGGGCGTGACCTAAATGGTCTAAGAAGTGGTGGGCGATTCGGGCGGCCGTGTATTAGGTATAGCACTTCGTCCTTGATCCTGATCCTGATTTAGAACCGGCTATTTTACACACGCAAAGTATTTCCATCTTTTTTATTGTGTTTTTATAATAAAAGGACTTATTTTTAATTCTTTTAATCGAAATTATATCTTGTACTCCTATTATATTTGCATTATTATTTATACGTATTTAATACGATTAAATTGAATTACCATTATTGTTTTTATCGTTAAAAAAACATGGAACTTTCTACTGTCGAAAATTGTAATTTATGGATGCTACGGTTTTGCCCAAATGAGATTGCACACTATTAGGTTTGCCCGGCAAATGCCGAACCATGACATTTTGCCCAAGTATCGAAGGAATTTCGGGTTTTGCACTGGCATAAGTCTGAAATTATGTATATTTCACAATGCGTAAAATGAGTATTGTACAAATCGCCAGCTGCGTAATGTTGCTGTATAAAGTAACTATAGATTTTACAAGTAACATTATACAATTTGCGATGCGTACTTAATCATTATAAAAATCACATTTTAACCACGGTCATACAGATTTTCACATCATATACCGTCAGCATTATACAATAAAATATTTTATTGAATCGTTATATTAATAAAAAGTACAATTTTTTTATTTTTATATATATTATAGTACTTATTACATATTACCAAAAAAAAAAATCACATTTAATATTAACGATTAATCTGTGTTAATATTATCGATTGACGATTACAGTGGCGAACCCAGGAATTTAGTACTGTGGGTCCGCCTCACTTACGAGGGGCCATAAGTCATGACTAATTTTTTAGTAAAATTTAAAACTTACTTAAAAACTTGGATATTGTTAATTAATTCAAATTTAATTGTTTTTTTTATTTGTTGCATTCAAGTCGGTATTCACTTGACAAACTTACCTGGAATATTTAAATAATTTTGAGTATTTTAGATGTTGAGAAGAGATTATACATATTTATTATTATATTCGTATACATATAGTTGCAGTATATTTATTTTATCTTAGTTTTCAATAACTGCTTTCATTTTCACAGTAAAGGGTAGTTATAAATTCTAATCCAATACAAAAATAATTCGTATATAAAATTATATTTTTATTATAATATATAAAAAAATAAAAAATAAAAGTAAGCACAGTATCACAATAATTTTCTACGTTTTTTCATCGACGCAAATGTACTTATTAATTTATTAAAATTTATTGTTTGAGCTATTATGTTGCTTTTTATGCTTAATATTGCCAAATTTGATAGCCGGTCTTCCGTCATAGTTGATCGAATGTATGTCTTGAGAAGTTTAAGCCTGTTAAAACTTCTTTCTGCACAGTTGCATTGTCATGAATTGCCTCGTCTTTTTCTTTAACTAATCGCCTCGCTCCACCAGACAGTCGAATCTTTTTATTATGAGCTTTCGTCATTCACGTTGAATTCGACAAAAGCACAAGTGCGCAACACAACACAGTAAGACGGTGGCGAGCAGAACGAACGGACGCTCGTTGACAAAATGGTGGAACGCAAAGAATAGTGAAATAGTTGTGTATAACATACTATAACATTTATACGCAATACGTACGACACATCAATAACGACCGATGACCACGGCTCATATATTTATTATGGATATTGGACAATAATATAAAAACAACCGTAGATTCCGCTAATAACACGATAAGAAGGTCTACGAATAGAAAAAGGGATTTCACTTAATACGTGGTAAACATATTTGTATAAGCAACAATATCGATTGTCGGTGTGTGTTTCGTAAAGGCGGCCGCGCGTGTTTTTCGATTTAGATATATTAATTGTTGATACGATTTCGTACGCGCTATTTATACGTCAATACCCCAGTATTCACGTCTACCTGTACATCGTAATATTTATACATTTATAATTATATTTTCATAGAAATGTTCTCTTGAGCCCGTGTACATTTTATAAATTACCTATAACACTCGTATTGTTATTTAATATTATTTCCATTTTGATTATTGTAGTATTGCACATGTTTATGTAGTCCGGGGCCTTTACCGAGAAAAAAACCGCGGGTCTGCTGACCTTCCAACCCCTCCCCCCTTCTGGATCCGCCCACGGACGATTATATTATTGATATTATTTTCGGTAATACGTAATATTATTACTTATGCACTACCTCGTGTCCCTCGACGATCTGACACTTGAAATAACATTTTGTTCTATTATTATTATTATAAAATCGCAAGGATTTTATTTTTCATGAATTATACAATTTACATTTTTCCGTACAATCATACTACCGACTACAAACGTATTAAAGTCAAATTTATGTTCTCCTGCCTAATTTTTTAATTTTTTTTTGTAATATTTAAATCGTAGTGCAGTGTAACACTGATTATTTAAAACACATAGATACCAGCGTATTAAAAATATTAAACAGACCGAAAGTTATATCGAGTGTCAGATTGTCGTGCGACACTCCGTACACAGTTGATTGTTTTTAGGGCACACGAATATCTGCCCTAGTTATTATAACACACGAATAGATCCGCCCGGCAGACGGAATGCAATAAAACGTGTCCGGAATATCGCGTACGTGTGCAATGTTATTGGAGAGCCCCACGATAAATCACAGTTTTGCGATATTGCCGTTTGTGCTTCCCGGCGCGTTTATCGCGGAACCGTATCGCGTCACTCGATCCTCGCGTTTATAATAACAATATTACGTTTATTGTATCAATTATAAACAGGCCGGAAAATATACAACATTGAATTTGTACATTGTAACGGTCCGCTTACCGTATTATACGCATTGTATCCACGGAGTGGGTGATGCCTGCTTGTAATCATCTTGGCACGATCACCGACGTAATTTTAGGCTCTGAGTGTAACGTTTACAGGAATGCGCCTGCCTGTAATTTACGGGCTCAGTACAACGACTATACAATTGTACATGATATTATCTATAGTAATATTATATATATAGTATCTATAGTAGACGGAATTTTATAATTGTTGCGCTAAATTATTTATCAACGCTTTATTAGCTTTGAACTCTTTAGCAGCATTTGATTGCTTTATTTGAAACTATTGAAAAAAAAAAAGCGGGCTTGGCCCTTCAATTTGGCCTTATACCGTGATACGTACTTTTATTTTCTACGTCTGTTCACGATTTTACATTTTTCTATACCACAAATGTATGATATTCCAAACATCATTTTCAGGAGTAGTTTTTCGTAGAAAATGTTGTCCATCATATTATGGTAAATTAATTTCAAGACATTATATATTTTCTTGAATAATATTTGTTTAATATTGTACCTATTTTCGCGGTTTTCCTACTTATTGGAAAAACTCAAAGGGAAAATTCAAAATGACCTTAAAGTATCATCACCCCAGTCAGATTTTCTTTCAGAAAAAGTGCTACACATGTACATCGGAGCAATATTTCTGGTAGAAAAGTTGTTCACAGTTAAAAAAAGTAAATAATACATAAACATTATTGTAACTCCACTCAGAATCTAATACTGATTCGTTTTGTACTATTATTAAACAGTCTATTCCATCAGAAACTCAAGCTCAAAGGAGTAAATATATGCTTATATAATCAATTATTATACGTGTACCTATATTTCATTGCATGTATAAATACACATAAAAACAATTTTAAAGAATTTAATTAAAAAAAAAATTAAAACCTTACCTAACTTAACCTAAACGTTATTAGTATACTTCAAAATTTTAGTATAATTTGTTGACATAAAATACTTTTTAAAATAGTTATTTGAGGAAGCGACCCATCGGGAAAACTCCCGAATTCCTGCTGGCCCAATCCGCCCCTGGAGCTAATATATCATAAATTGTACTTGTTGTTGTGGTAAAAAGTTGAGTGTAGGGTGTTAATATAAACGTTTAAAAATATATTTTTATGAAAACTGAATTTCGCTCAGAATAATATTTCGTTATAAATGATTAGTACGTAGATACCTAAAGGTTTAAATTAAATTACTCCCTGAAGTCCTATTTTCCCAAATTTCTATCTACAACAGTGATACACTCGTTAACAGTACCAGTTATTTATTTATTTTTATAATTCAGTACAAATAATAAATTATAACTATAAACGGAACTCTAACTGGAACTGAATACTTTATATTGACACTTTCTATAGATTTTGAGTAATTTTGAAAATCTTCTGACGTTTTTCGAGTTATTATCATAATTCTTTGAAGTATTCCAATCTGCAATGCACACGCATGCGTATATAGCAATTAATATCCACGTTTATTTTTTAACGTATTGAAATAATACGCTTATTTTAAACCACTTCACGAGGAAATGAAGTAGCTTTGAACAATAGAAGGGTTAGGTAGGATATAGGTATTCTGAACAATTGGTTTAACATCGTAACCGGTAAATAATAGAAATCAACGTGTTATAATAATGCCCGTCAAGTTGTGTGTGACACATTATCCTTCATCTCGTGCCATCATCATATATAAAACTCCAATTCCGGTACCCTGGATTCAAATGTCAGAATAATGGTTTTCAGCGGTAAACACAGACGAAAATAGATGGACATATTTCATATCATGGGTAGGCTACTGTTGTAGGTGAAAAATTGGGAAGGTAGAGGGAAAATTTAATGTATATCTAAACGCAACGATTAATTATTGCTAACAAAAAACGATTCTGAGCAGAGATCGGTCATACAAGTTTTGAACTGCTGTAATATTTACGATTTGAAAATAATACATATTTCCCATTTATTATGATAACTGCTTGGGAAATCAAAAAGTGTACCACCTGTCAGATATCCTTTTGAAAATAGGAGCAAAATTTCTAGTAGATATGTTGTTTATAAAAAAAAATAAATAAATAAATAAATAAATATTATTGTAAAAACTAATTCTTCTTTCTACTCTTTCTTCTCTTCTAATAATTTTAAACGATTTTATTGATAAATTTAGTGAGCGATGTTTCGGAGAGAACTAAAATAAATTGTATTTTTATGTTTATGTTATTAACCTTTTCATTGTATATTGTAATTAATGCTAATCACATATTATGAGGTTCCCTCTGAAATAAATTTGTCATTCTGTGAGTTTATTCTTTAAAATTATTTTCAAAGGGTAAATTTTTTTTTGTTTTCATATAAACATGTTTTTGAACAAATTTCACACGATTACAAGATACAAAATTTTTTACGGAACCGATTTGTAAATTTATGTGAACATATTTTCGAGTTGATCAGTTTTTATTTTTTCTAAAATTTCGTCAAAATTGCTTATACTCCTGTAAATACCACAAGACAAGTGAAGTCTTTCTGAGTTAATTTCATTTCTAATAATCTAGAAATAGTAATTTTCGTTATTAGTTTTTAGTGTTGAGAAGAACGCGTTGCTTGTTTTGATAGGATCGAAGGCTGTAACGTGTTACTTTTAAAATAAAAAATCGAGATATAAGAAAGAGTTCCTTTTTACGAAGAATGTGAACGCAAATCGTCGTTTCATTTTTTTTTTATCCAAGTTTTCAATTTACCATACATTATATGACTGTATATAATATATACAGTATATATAATATACATTATGGTTTTACAAAGACGTTTATTTATTTTTTTTTTTTATCTCTGCGCAACTTTTCTACCAGAAATCTTACTCCGATTTTTAAGTATACTTTTTTTTCTAAAAATAAAACGGACTAGGAAAGTACTTTAAGGAGGTTATTTTTCGATTTTCCCAAGAGTTTTCCTAATAAATGTCAAAAACCTGGGAAAAACGGGGAAAACGCAGAAAAAACCCGTAAACATCGAATATTCTCGTGGAATCTTCACTCGTGCACTTTAGTTATGTATAAAAAGTGATTTGTTTATTATGAAGATTTAACTATTTGATCAACTATTCAAATTATTAGTAAACTGAATGATTTTCGCTTTTTTAAAATAAAGCGAACAATTTATTGGTTCTACTATTTTTTTTTCGTCTATCAATTCTTCTCCAAAAAATCTAACTTAGATTTTTTTTGATTATCTTTGTAGTTATTTCTTACTAAACCTTAAAAAAATTAGGACATTAACGATTTCATTAACTTCGATTTATTAAATATAGTAAATAATTATATAAATAAAAAATAATAAATAAAAGTATGAATGCGTCACCTAATTATTTCTCTTGACGTCAAAAATTTACATACATCTATTCCTAAACACGAAACAGTACATTTTTAAAAAATAAACTTATATACAGTAATAAATTTAATACAAATGAAGTATAAGATATTATTTAATCAATAAATGTACCATTTCTTAGATCTTACAGTATCCATAGTAAACAATACATTTGATTTTAGTATTTACAGGAAACCTACCCAAACTGATGCTATAATATCACGTGATTTTAATCACCTTTATTTTCAAAAAATACAATTTTTTAATTCAATATTCTATAGGCTTCAACGTATTCCATTAAATAAACATAATTATCAACACGAAATCAATATTATCTATAATATAGCCCATAGA